ATTCTTAAATATATATATATATATATAATTATGAATAAGTAAATTGATGAGAGTTTGCTATACCCTCATACGCTGACTCTATTATGTACGTCATTTTATCATTCATATCAGCAGGGAAATGATAGTAGGTCCATGATATCAGGAATCAAAATTCTTTTCAAGCAAATGTGTAGTCCGTGACTTTTGGAGGAGCGGGCGCCTTTGAATGTTTGAAATAGATAAAATAATGGCGCCATACAAGCGCATACAAGTGCTGTGGATCATCATCATCATCAAAATGGTGACATAGAACATTAACTAGCTGTTGTTATTTTCAGTGAGCAAAGTTGTGACGAATTAATCGTGAGAGTGTTTACACTTCACACCCTGTTTTTTAAGTTTGTTTCCAAAATGTTCATTGATTCACTTTTTTAAACTATTTATTTATTAATTAGTGTACAGATGAAGGCGGGATACGCGGGCAGGCCCCCCGCCCCGCCCCCCCCCCCCCCTCCTCCCACGGCGTATACTGGCGTATATTATACACATTAAGTACATAGACGAAACTTTGTTCAATTTATGGCATAATTTATACTGTTTCTGCATCCTTGATGTAGAGTACAGCAGAGAAAGGGAAATGAAGATAGGAAAGAAACATTGAATACAAATACGGTTAAAGAGACAAAGATAGTATGAATGTGTGTCCGTTTCACTTTAAAATGCAAATTCCCCCCATACAAGGGGCAAGGGGTAAATTCCCTTCCGACCTATTCAAGCTGCCCCTCAAATTTTGAGCATCTACAGTGTTTTTTCAACCGGGGTGCCGTGAGGGTATCTTAGTTTTTATCAAAAATACATTTTATGAATAAATATATATCACTATAGGTATCTTGATGCGGAAATATCATTTCAGAGATAGTAAAGTATATATTTCCTGGCTCTCTTCACTCGCTCACAAAATTTAGGAATGGGATAGCTTCAGGCATGCGAGGTCCATGACTGTCCCCTTATGATAATATGCCGATATTCAGGAACCGCGCTGCCCGGATATAACATTTTTTAAAATTATATTCGTATAGGCCTATATAAAAATAATTGTATTCCACAAGAAAGTGTCTTTTTCCCCCTCGTACACTTCGCTCCTTGCAAAATTGTTAAATCAGGATTAGATTCCTGGCAACGAGATGACCGAATATTATATATAATTGTATAATATGATATGTGCTATACAATTAAGAACGGCATATTATTATTATTATTATTTGCCATAATAAAAGTGCAATTGTTTTGGCTTGCTTGCCTCACTCGCTCGTAATATTTTAGAGCCGGACAGTATTTGGGCAAGAGGCCCTCACGGTCCTCGGGTGAAAATTTGCCTGGTTGTTTATGTATTCGAGGGATGGAAAGAAAATACTCTTTGATGAAGTTTGGATTGAAGTGACGCGTAACTTTTTAACGTCTAAAGTTAAGTTGTAAAACGCTGATCTCCAATACTAAAGACTGGTCCCCGGTCCCCCCCCCCCCCCCCCCTCCCCCTCCAATAACTGATCCAACGCTGCGCCACTGCTTGTGCCGGTATGAATTACCGACAATTATTTTTATTACGTAAGATTTTAAAAGTAGACAAATTATTATCCGTTTAAAATTGTGGAGGAAGTTTGTTTTTTTTTCCTTGGGGGGGGGGGGCACTATAGCATGCATGGTACTTGGTAGGCATAGAGGGGGCAACATTCTTACTCGGTGTAGTGTCCCTCTATAAAGGGACACTAACTCGGTGAAGGCCACCGACAGTGGAAGGATGCGGGATGGGGACCTAAATCATCTTCTTTTCTATTCCTTTGCGGAGTGGGGCCACTGGTGCACTCCCCACCCCCACTACGGGATCGGAGGGACCGCATACGTGTTCCCAAAATCTCCGGTAAACGGGTACTTTTCGTCCGGCCCGAGAATTGTAAAAAAAAAGGGAGTGTATTTGACTTTTCACCCGGAGATTTCAAAAAGGGGGTGTTTTTCTTTCTCTCTCTTTAGATTCCTGAGAAAGTTAAAAAAGGGTTTATAAAATATTTTAAAAGGGGGTCTCTCTCTCTCTCTCTTATTGGACTCCCGAGAAATTTTAAAAGGGGCTTTATAAAATATCTCGAATAATTAGATAAAGGTACTTTGAGCAGTGTTCCGGATTAAGTGGGGTCTCCAAGGCTGGAAAAGCCCGCGAAAGGGGGGTTCAGAAATGTTGGCAATCCTGAGATAGGAGGGGGATGCTTTCAGAAGGAGGGAACAACCATACGCGTACCCTAAATAACACTGAGTGGGGGGGGGGGGGGCGGGATGCACACATTGGACACTTACAGTTACACCCCCAAAATGAATCATTCTGAGAATGCATTGTCATTGAGTTCATGTCACAGAAAAATTTGGAGTCACTGGCCACATATCCATTAAATCGTCCTTTCATTTCATATTATGTCCTGGTGACATTCATAAGTTCTTAGTGTATGCGAAACATCCGCCTCCGCGTTCGGAGCTAGCCTCCAAATTCCAAAAATTCTACAGACAGATGGATTGATAAAATGCGTTCCATTAGCCGAGCCCGCTCAAGGCCGCTTCGCCGATAAGCCGCGCTACATTCCTGATCGAGACTCAATTCTCCCAACACAAAGGTATTTCCCATGGTTCCATGGGATACCATCCGTGGGAAACAAACTGTGTGTGTGTAAAATAAACGTAATTTGTCTGAAGAGAAATCTTGCACATGTATTGTCTATGCGGAACAAGATTGTGAATATGTCATATATTTCTGTGGAGGAAATTTCTCTGTTTCGCAGCGTAAATTGTTACTTTAGAAATTTAGAATCGCGTGGAATCACTTGGATATAATAATTCACGGAAAAGTATCTTCGATTGATTTTGGAATTGGACGGAAACGTGGAAATCTAATTCGTAGATAGGAGGAATGTGAGGCAACCTGTTTCGTGGTCGTGTGAATTTCTTTCTGCATGTTGTCGCACACATACAACTGGCATTGTGTGTGAGCGTGTGTATGACATCAACAATATGGCCACCGACATCTACAGTGCACTGGAAAAACATGCATTGTTTATGTTCCAAACTCGTCAGGAATCATGAATTTCCTAGCCAGCTTGAAATTAGCTTCTCCCTGGTTTCCCCCGTAAAGATATTAGGTGTATAGCACACCAATGTAGATATTGATTAAGGTGAGAAATCATTGACATTTATAATGTTTGTGCCTGTTTTGTGTTGTTAATCTGTTGTTATTCAGGTGTTAATTTAAACTTCAACAAGATTCGAAACAGAACAAGACTCATTCAAGAGAACAGTCTCAGTCTAGTTCATTAGTTGTTAGTTGGCAATATTTTGAATTAGGAAACCACCACACAGTAGTGCTTCATTGACTCACACATATTGGTTTCTCTTTCCCCAACCAATAATCATCTGATCATGTATGTAAATTTCAATTTAGTCTAGACTAGATCATGTAGTCTAGACCTGATGAAATATTCAGGCACAGAACCAAAAAATGGGAAGGTTCTAAAAAGGTATAGAGGTCTAGGCCTACATCATGTAGACTACTATGCCCGTATGTAGTACATTACATCGTGATGTAGGCCTAGATCTTCTTCTTCTTCTTCTTGGTTTCCTCCAGGATTGGAGAACTGCGCTGCGGAGTGTATACTGATCCTTCGCAGAATGAGTAAATAAGATAGATCTAGTAGAGACAATACAAAACTGGGTATATAATATCAAAGATTGCAAGACATGAAGATCACAGCTTATGCAGGAGCTGCTTTGTTCACAACAGAACGTTAAATGTGCATATCTAAGATGAATGTTAGGGTTGCAGCATGATAATCCAGGGCCTGGGCAGTTATGGGTGGGTCGTCGTTAACTCCAACTTCTTGGATCTACATACATGTATTCGTACATGTAGGTTACAGATTTGCTCATTTTTGCTTTATCAATTACATAGGCCTAGACAACTATTTAAATTTTTAAATTTCTGATTTGCTACTTTCAGCAGTAGGGCCAGGGGCGCTGGTCTGAGAATAAGGATTGTCCGCATATAAAACGAGGAACTTCTTCGTAAACGAGGACAGACGCGTCCTAAAAGTAAAAAATAAGGATTGTCCGTGTTTTCGCTGACAATTCTTATTTCCGATTGGCAATGCGGAAAATGGATTCCAGGACGATGCTCTTTGATGCATTTCACACTTACTGTACTTTTTACAGACTTTGATGTTATGAACGATTAATCCTCTGGAAGACGGACAACCCATAAAAGTAGGCGGTGAACTGGGAGTATTTTATTACGCAAATCTGTTTTTTGCATTGCCAGCATGCGGATCGGGAACTCTACACCTGCAGCTGTGCGCCAAAGAAAACGTCCCCCCAAATACGTGGGACACATAGACACCCACAATCTAAGTCTGAACACCCCAGATTTCAAAATGTTATTGATGTACTGCTCAATGCTCATACAGTATGTATACATGTACACGTAAAGTGTAAAAAGGCCAGACCCCCTTCCTGATAATAAATTTACGAATGTACAATGTGGAGTCTTTCTAAAAAAAAAATTTGTTAGCAGCACATGCATATATTGTAAGTTGTATTACCTACATGTACATGTACGTGTGTACTTCCAGTTTCAGTTGCAGTTGTAAAGCTTGGGGAATTTCCCCAGCTACAGTCAACAACAACATACATGTACAGTGTTAGTGTTAGGGTATGAAAATGTATTTTGTCAAACACAAACTACAGGTAGTGAAACCACATTTTATAATGTACATGGTAAGGTGTTAAAAATACAATATCCACTAGCTGCTAGAAATTGTTATTTTTGGGGTGAACAAACTTCATACAACACTGTTCATATACATGTATGTACTGACTGTATCCTGGTTCTTTAATGTTGATTTTGGCTGCACATTATGTACATACATGTACATACAATTGTAGGGAGTATTTTAGGGTATTTCCCCAGGAATTTTATTAATTTATTGTTATTTTTGTGAGACTTCCCTGGTTCCACCGCACAGTATCAAGAGCTCCAGTGTTGTACAATTGTATTATTGAACCTGTACATGGCCAATGTACAATTTTTATATGATGTCTGCGCTACTGACTATTTGATTGAAGCAATAAGACAGGTAATAAATAATTCATTTTAACGTTAGTTCGTTACAGTACTACATTGTACAAACCGGTACGGTATATAGTAAACTGTCAGTGAGAAACACTGAAAGAAAAGGGGAAAAAATATATGTATGCACACTTGTACATGGAGTCGGGCTAACTCGGACCAGGGGACAACTCGGCCCAGCTGCAAAAACGGTCACTTTTTGCATGTCTAGGTTTAGGGTTAGGTTTAGGGTTAGGGTTAGGATTAGGGTTAGGGTTAGAGTTAGGGTAAAGTGACAAAAAAATGACAGTTTTTGCAGCTGGACCGAGTTGTCCCCTGGTCCGAGTTAGCCCGGATCCTTTTACATGTACATGTATGTGGACATCATAGGCATGTTATTGGAGATTTAGCTGTGTATTATTTTAGATGTGTCATGTGCACTCATAATGCTACATGTAATTATGATCTTGTGTTTTCTCAATTTTATCTTTCTACAGGCCACTTTAGTAGTTTCTTTCAACCACTGTAGGAAGTGGACACATGGATTTATACTTTGGATATATTTTAAGAAGTGACTTATTTATCATGCTGCTTGTGGATTTACCTTACATCGACGCACGAGAGTGACATAAGAAAGACTTGAAGCAAAGACTTGAAAGCTTTGTCGCAGGTTGGTGACAACAGCGACAAGGGGGGCGCAATGCAGAAAGGGGCGGCCAACTCCAGGCCGCAGATCTTCGTAGGGAACCACAGAAAAATGCTGCGTGACATCTCCGATAGCCTGCACCACCTCCGGGTTAACCAGCCGAGTGACTCGAGCGGGAGTGGGGCGCAATTATCGCAAAATGGCAACCATGCCAATGGGAGCAACTCAGGAGGGGGAGGGGAGGGGGTACGACTACAGACTGGTGGGGACAAGAGTAGTAGGAGGGCAGGATATAAAGAGAAACTGGACATTATCAGGAACAGTCTCCCAGAGCCTGGATTGAAGATGCAGCAGTATCATCATCAGCAGCCTTCGCCTATCCCCTATGATGAGGTGAGTTTTATCATACAATCAACTTGTAAATATCATCATGCAGGGCAGCGTCTCACGAAACCGTCATATTAGTACAAGTTTACTGACATCCCATTGCAACGCGTGTATTAAGTTTAACACACGTTTCAATGGGATGTCAGTGAACTTGTAGTTATCTCGGTTTCGAGAAACGCTGCCCAGGTATCATTTGAAGGTAGGGGTAACTTTACTGTGGTAAAATATTAAAGTGACTGTAACATTGTTGAAGGTTGATGAGAAAGAGAGAAAAACAAAAATCAGTTTTTCCCAATTTTTATCATTAATAATGGTCTGTTTTCACTCAAACTTTCAGATTATTTTTACTTGTACATCTACATGTAAGCAACAAGTCAGTTACCTTTAAGTTATAGCACCATTTTCTCTCATCTCAACAATTTTACCATTACCAAGTCCCTTTAAGATATGGAGCTATTTAACATTTGGGATATACTTTGCACAATAACAGTATCTTGTAATCGTAACATTGCTAAAAATGTGAGTAGGGACTCTGGGGTATAATGTACAAAAAGTAAATGTAGAGTACAGTGTGTACATACATTTTGTAGATCAATTTATGTGGCTTGACTGTTTGCCTGCCGCATGGATTACAGTAGTTTGTACAGTGTATATGCACTTTACTCAGAGGCTCGCCCCAGAACCAAAAGACTTATTATTGATTTTCTTTGCTGGGTATTCTTAAAACGCAAAAGAAAAATTCCAAGAGTTTTAGGATTACCAGATACAGATGAGCAATCAGTTGATCCGCTTTTGTCAAAGTCTTCTCTAAGCAGGGTGTCTAAAGAAAGATAGACAGCTGGTTTACCTTGATGTAAAGCTTTCCAATTCTTTTCTTAGCGTTTGTCTATTCGTCCTCTATTTTAAGCTCCATTTGACGTCATAAGGAATGTAAATTTATTGAGTGGAATTGAGTCGATGTACTTAAGTTTCATTCTGTGCAAAAATCACATTGCCTACACGCTACATGTACATGTACAATACATTTACAGGTACAGTGTACATGTACAGTGTACAGTACATTTACAAATTAGTTTTTTAAAGATTTAAAGACAACTTGTTTGCATGAATCCACAAAGTCGCATTAATTAGTCAACTCAGAGTTTACAGTCTGCAAAAGTGTTTGTGGATTTCTGTGAGAGAAAAATACACTTGAGTCATCTGCAAATAAAACGAATGATAACATCTTTGCGGAAAGTTGAAAATCGTTAATATACACGATAAACAAAAGTGGGCCTAGAAGGGATCCCTGTGGGACCCCACAAGTGACGTCCCGCAAATCTGAATCAATTCCATTTAAAGTTACAAACTGTTTCAAACTGACAGCCAACGGCTTTAGGTCCTCTCCGAGGGACCTGGTAATGAGGATTAATGCCTTACCAAAGGGCACTGGTGCATTGCCTTGGTTTCGAACCCGCCTACACATGTATGCAGATTGCAGATACATGTACAAAGAGCGGTACATGTGGTCATGAAGCCAAAGGCCTATTATTTTCTGCATTGCATGTGCAGTACAACGGTACAATGAACATGTACTGTACACTGTACTGTATAGTATTAGTGCATTTTAAATAAAAAATATTGTGGATGTCACCTTGTAATTCTTTTTAGTTCAGACTTTTGAGAGTAACCTCAAATGTGGTTATTGTATGTACATTTACATTAGACAGTATTCTTTTATGCACTTTATTTGTAGATAACACCTCATTCTCTACACACTCATTTTGTTTGAAATAGTACACTGTCATTGTACATGTATTGTACCACTGTAATACAATGTACTAGTATGGAACTTTAGCAAATATAGTTAACCTTGAGATGCAGCGACTATTGTTACCTGTACATTGGCTGTATGACTAGCGTGTGAACAATGGCAAGTAACATATTTGTAAGGTTAATCATAAAGGCTCGTTCAGATATGTCGCAATAAATCGTCGCAAAAAAGCCCCCGTTTTTTATGTGTCGATGAATGGCAAAGGTTCTACACATTCACTGAGCTCTGTGTTATATTAAACTTATAAGATTTTTTTGTTGTTGATGTGAAGCTTATTACAGTTTACACATTACATCATCATAAACAGTTTAAATTCCATGGCAGTTTTGCCATGTCATATTTGAACAAAGCTTTTAAAAGCGAATGTACATTTATGATCCAAATCAGACCAACATGTTGCCTGATGTGCAAGTTCGAAAACAAAAAAAATTACTGTCTATTTTTCGATGGGTTTGATTGTATCTAAATGGATCCAAAGTACAAAGTCTACAGTATGCTTGTCATCAGCCTGCTGTGTCACATGAACATTGTCCACTGTATGTTTGTATAAATGATGAATGTACATATACAAATGTACAGTATATTAACAGCAGTTTATGATGACACATACAGAAAAGAATGCACAGATACTGATAGATGCAACAGAAGGTGATAGTCTGGTTGTGAGACTAGAAACGAGAGTAAGGAGAAGATGAAGAAAGTGAAGTAACTCTGGGGAATGCGACCCCTTGACCAGGTGGTTGCAGACATCAAGGCCAGGGTCAAACATTTGACCCCAAGCCAGATGTTAAGAAAGTATACTAAATATAGGAAGCTCAGTTCAGGCCTATACACGGTACATTATGTATGTGTTCAAACCCAGGAGGTTTTCAGTCTCATGCTAGTACATGTACTTCTGAGTCTGATTCTTCAGCATTTGATTCCTCAAGGCTAAGGAAGGAAGTGAAAGCTTGAAGAGGATAAAAGCTTATTTGATTTACTCTCAAGTGATAAAATTCCTTGACAACAAGTTGTGTTTCATTTTTAGGGGGAGGGGTTAAGAGTGCATTTTTCATGATGTTCAGTAAAGTTGTTGAGTTGAAAACTCCAAACTCCAAAAGCTCTAAAAAATAAAAAAATAATGGAATACTATACATGTACATTGTAGCATTCCATTCCTCATATGATGTACATGTACATGTACTCATTGTACTGGTATACAAACAAAAACAATTGAAGAAAACATTGTACTTGTTCATGTCGATTGTAGCTGTATTGTCTCTATTACATGTATTTTAGAGAAAATTGAAGAAAAAACATTTTTTTAAAAGAATATATATTTCCAGAGTTTACCGTAGTTTAGGGAGAGTGGTTTTCCATGATTGAAATAACCTACAAAACCTGTGTTGTCAACAAACTGGTTATTTCAGAATACAGGTCAGCAATCAGCAGAAGATATATTTTTTTTCTAATGCGAAAACATGAACCTGTACATGTGTAATGTGTACATGTACAATGTACATTATGTGGGCTTGTAATATTGTTTGTTTGCGTACTCAATGGCTCGGTGCAGCATGTAATACACATGTACTGTACAGTACAAGAGTTAATATACTTTTTTTTTCTGTCAGAATTTTCTTTTTCTGTCCTTAACTTTAATTTTTCTGTCGTCCTATTTACTATTCCTTTTAGATTTTGTCTGTCTATTTATGAGGAGGCGCGATAGCTCAGTCGTTAGAGCAGTGGTCTCGTAATCCGATGACCCGGGTTCGAAACCAAGGCGATGCGCTAATGCCCTTTGGTAAGGCATTAATTCTCATCACTAGGTCCCTCGGAGAGGACCTAAAGCCGTCGGCCGTCTGGTTGCTTACTTGTACAAGCATTAATGCTTTCTTAGCAGTCAGGTAAAATAACCACCACCATTCCATACATGGCAACATTTGCCTTGTTTGTTTTTTTGTCTTTCTACCAAGATCTATACATTTCTCTCTCTCTCTCTCTCTCTCTCTCTCTCTCTCTCCCCTCTCTCTCACTGTTTCTCTTTCTCAGCTCTATTGTTCATCCCTATTCTAAGAGATAGAGTGTACAACAATAGATGTTCCCCCTTTTGAATAGGCATTGGTAGTTGTGTACATGTAGCTTGGCAAGGGGGATTGTGTAATTCTCTCTTGTGATGCATGCAACCAGATTGGGATTAGTCTTTGTACGTAGTCTTTTTTAAATCCAAATACAACTTCAATTGTTAATTTTTTTTGTAAGGAGAAAAAAAGAGAGATACACATGTAGATTTTAGGATGCTAGATATACAGACAAATGAGAGAAAAAAGTTAAGGATTGGTCATAAGACCAATAATGATAATGAATTACAAACATGTACACTGTATATGTACATGTACATGTACAACTCTATTCTGTATTGTTTTTTGAATTGGTATCCTAAAGTTCATGCCGAAAAGGTATTTAGTTAATAGATACGTGTATACATGTATGCATGGTTCTGAGATAATTGGTGCTGAAATTGAATTTGAAAGAATCAGTGGAATACTGGAATGGTACCTGCAACACCCAAATCCAGTATGAATTGGACTGAATTGCGATGACCAGTGATATTGTGACCGACCCCTTTAAAGATCTGAAGATCCCTGTCAAAAGTTTATTCACCTGGTCTGCTTGCTCTAGACTAGTACCATTGAACAGAAAGAGTGGGGGGGGGGGGGGGGGGGGAGTGCAAAGCAAGTAGGTTTGATCAAAGTCTTGTGTGTGTGTGTGTGTGGGTCGCCAGCCATTGTTAGCAAGATAATAGGCCCAGGAAACGTGCCACATTCTTGGCATTCTTGGATCTGGACCACTGAATCTAGTGTGCGGGCTTTGGGTGCGTGTGCATCATCCAGCTCACCGTCTGGTTGTGATGTAAGTGGGTAGAATAAAAGGACCATGAGGTCACAGGATTAGTCAATTTGATCATGGACCTGCCAATGGTTTGAATGATCTTCTGCCTGCGTAAATTTCTTCTTTGTAGTGATGAAAATAGAAAATTCTCCTTATTAGTAATATACCACACTCCTACAGGGATGGAGGTGCTACACTGTACATATTAAAATGGCCTTTGTTTCCCCTCTTCAAAGAATACTTCCACCTGTGTGTCATGGAGTGCAGTTTTTGTGCATAAATGGATAATGATTACATAACTTTCATGAGCACATATTTTGTCTCCGTGTACATGTATTTCAAAATTTGGTCTGCAATGACTATTATCTGCTCATGTACATGTATGAACTGGGTTATTGCACATGTTCATGTGATGAGATACAGTGTACATACTACATTGTACATGTACATGTTCAGTTAACTAATATACCCCTTGCGAATATGACGTTTTTGTGTTTCTCTTCAATCAAGAATGAAAGATGGACTACCGGTAGTTGAATCTTTAGGCCTTTGTTAAACACTTTTAGATGTACATGTACATGTATGTATAAGTTTTAATATTCACATTCTGAAGAAACATAAATTGGGACGAGTCAATTTTTCACTCACTTAAAAAAATGACAAAACTTGGAGAAATGACGAAACTTGATGCAGGTGCAGATCTTAATATACAGTACCAGTAGTTGTTAACTGTATACATGTACATGTATACATGTAATAGTACTATGCATTCACAAAATTTAAAGTGCACATGTACATGTAAATTGTAATGTACAGTAATTGATTTTGAAGGTGTACACAAAATGATGCACTGTACATATTTGTAAATGCCTTTGGTGATTTTCCTATAAAAAATACACAAAACCCCATGATGTTCCATCACTATAAAATGGAATCCTCTATGAAGTGTTATTGAATTAAAAGCCAGTGCTATACATCCCATACGGAATCTACATTTACATCTACTGTACAGTACTTGTACATCCACGTACATTACAATGGCAAGTAGCCCATTGCATTCTCCAAATGTTTGGAAGTGGGTCACAGGAGTATGTGAAAAAGCTATGGCGGAGTGGTCACAACAAGAAGTCGCAGACATGGGATCTGGTGTGTGCGCATTCCAGGGATTCCCATCGCATGTTTCAGCACTGTGACATCAATGCCCCCACAGCCCCCAAGTGAATTCCAATGGGGTTTTACTGACTTGAGTCCCTTCTGGTTCCATCATTCCAATGCCTAGCCCTTTAAAGACCCTACATGTATCCCATTAAAAAACATCTTGATATAAACGGAAAACTGGATGAATATACATGTAGAAATAAGAATACAAATATGCAGTACATAGGAATAAAAAGTATTTACCCTTTCAATATTGTACAAATGCATATTAAAACCTCATTTTCCGCACCCCTCCAAATAACGGGTCAACAGGGGTCAAATTTGCCGAAGTTACAGTAATGGCATACCATGCGGATCCCATTGGTTCACCTACATACATGTAGCTGAGGCAATGAGCCAATGCAAAGTCATTGTCAACATGTGTACTCGACATATTAAACATGATGTCATCAAGTCGATAGCAGGTTTTTAGGTCGACAACTTCCGATTTTCAAAGCTATAGATTTTTGAGTTTTCAGAGAGCTGATACTCCTCTGAAAGACACTAAAATGGCATATAATTGATATTATTGTAATCTATGGCTTAAATAAGCTTTCTGTTGATATATAATTCATCAATTTTATTTTTCAGTTCAGATATGGTCTTTATAAAAGGTGAACAATACCAAGCTGTTGTACATGAATTCATGAAACCTGGTTAAAACTATCAATAAAACAAAAAACAGCAGAAGCTCAAGAGACATCTTGAAATAAAAGTGAACCAGTAGGGAAATAACATTTTCGTTTATGACACCTCCTTGGATCTTATCATCTTAAGAGGGATGTCCTTTTTTTCTTTCCGGTGACACAACCTGTTTTTCTTAATACATTTGTAATGTAGCTCTGTTTGTACATGTACATGTATACAGCTCATTTGTAGAGGTCTTTTATAACATTACAGAGCTACATGTAAATTGTACAATGTGCATGTACACTGTACATATTAACACACAATGTAGTTGTATCACTTTAGTGTTCTCATGTCTTGGTTGAACATTTTAATCTTCTTCTACATTATGTGTTGAAAACTGCAAAATTATTGAAACTGTAAATCTCAGTGTATAAGACGCACTTTTGTATACATTGTAAGACGCACCCCTATTTTTTTGCAGACTCCATGGGCAGCAAGCCAGGTCTGTGTTAAAAAAAAACAATCGGGGAAGGAACTTTATTTAGTGCGAGGTGCAGTTGAATGCGCCGATTTGTACATGTACTTGTGAACAATGTCGTTTTTAAAACTTAAAATTTTCCTATACAGAAATCTGGCCAGGGAGACATTGCCAGGTACAGTGCCAGTTGGAGAGGCATACATTGTACATCGACACTATATACATGTAGATAGCATATTATTATAGGTCCTCTATAAAGAATAGACCATTCTGTGCAATTCATTTTGAAAAAATTAAATTTTAGTTATTTTATATGTTGGAACAGATGGGAAATTAGCCCGGCACTACATCACATTGACATTGCTGCTTCAGCCAATTAGAAGTGCCCATACATGTAGAGTAGGTACATGTGCATACAACTTTAAAAAATTCATTACTTTATTATTTTTAGTTAGATTTAATTGACACTTTCATCAGTTTGCTTCTCTGACTTGTCTGCTTTCTGAGTACAGTAGTTGTCTATTTGGGTTGGATTTCCCTTTAAGTGTCAAATATTAGACTCTTATCCTGCTGAATACATGTACCGGTACCCTTTTTTGGGGAGGGGGGGGGGGGGGCATGCTGGTAACATTGTAGTACACGTACATGTAGCAGTAACTTCAGATCCTCAATTCAAAATTGATCTCCATAGAGTTTAATTCTCCATTTTCTCTGCTATTCTTGTTCCTCCAGCAGGAAAGCGGAGCGAAAGTCTCCCAGATCTCCAGGCTGTACCAGCAGCAGCAGCCCAAGGGTCCAGACTCTCCGGATAGTAGCATCAGGGACGGCAGTAGCTACGCCAGCAGTACAGACAGCTCCTCACTCAGCAACGGTAGTGGGTACCGCACTGTCCCAGCACGTGAGTTTGATAATGATGATGATAATTTGTTTGTTGGTCCCAACATCAATAGGCCCTGTCCTCATCAGCTCGAGATTGCCAAATATCCAGATATTTTAACTATCCTAATCGCAAATTATCCTGCTAAATTGCGTATTTATCAGCCCGCAGTTGCAATTAGCGGGATATTTGATCGAGATAATCATCTCAAGATATCTTGGGCAAGTTTCCAAAACATCCCGCTATTTGTCCGGTGCATCCTCACCAGCCCGAAGACTCGCAATATGCGCGAATGCTGAGCAAAATATCTTGAGCTAGAGTTTCGAGTTTTGAGGTCAAATCTCGAGCTGATAAATATTAAATACATGAACACCCCTGTACGTGATATGTTACTTCTTGCTTATTTCCCTAATCAGAAATAGCAGGCTATTAGGCAATCTCGAGCTGATGAAGACATACCTAGTAATGCTCTTTCTGCTGACATTGCAATTATTACCCCAGCATTGCATGGTACCCTTTTAATTCTCAAGGGCCAAAACCTGGGTCCTCTCAAGAGTCAAGCGCTTTCACCAATATTTGATAGTGCCCCCCCCCCCCCCATATTTATGAGAAGTAGCACGTGGAGCTCCCAAAGCGGTCTGAATAAAATAAAAGAGCAAAACAATAATTCATTGTTCTATGTCATATGTACAGTGTATGTATTTATTGTTGTTGTAATCAAGTGGTATTGTATGTATTTTCTGCCATTAAAAAAGAATTAACACATTAGTTCTGTACATCATGTACATGCATACAGAATTTTGTATCAGTAATTCAACATCCTGCGAAATTTTAATGGCAATTCAAAATAGTTCTTATACACTCTCTCTGCACACACCATGAAATATTCTTTTCTTTTTCTTTTAGCAGTTGAAATTGTATGGTGTTGATTTGTTACTTGTAAATCAAAGTATTTATGATATCCGAGATTTAATTGGCATGTACAAAATAACATGTGTCTTTCCTTTGTTACATGTACATGCCCACAGCTCATGGGTTCAAGCGGAAATCTAGCTACGATGACAGAGGGCAGCCACTACTACAGTCCAACGCAGCTGGAGATGCCTTGCAGCACCCATCACCGTACGGCCAGCAGACTTCCCGTCAACAGATCCACCTAGGTGGTAGCGACAATACCCGCAGTCTTTCATCCATATCTTCAAACAACTCCTTCAGCGATGGCAGGTCCTCTTCCATTCAACAGCAGCAGCAGGCAGCATACCCTGGCCGTTCCTACACATCCATAATGGCCGCTGGTGACAATTTGGCACCAAACTCACAGGGAATGCCTTTTGCAGGATCAGTTGCACCCGGTGGTGACAGTAGACTCCAAACGCAGTGGAACACCATGAATTACAGCGGTTACCCTGCACATTCGAGAGACAGTAGTGGGCAAATTCATATAACTGCCGGTAGGGCTCCGCCGAACAATCTGCAAAGCACAAACCATAATAGATCAGTGCCATCTATGGAAAGGACAAAGGTAGCAAATATGTTACATATAGGTAACAATGGTGATATTTACCAGTCGTATGTGAATCCAAAAAGAGACAATTCAGGGTATGTGTCGAGCCTGACTATGAGTAGAGTGCCAGGGCCAGCTGATAGCGGTTACAACCAAATAACAATCAATCCTGAGGACAGAACTATCAAAAGGCAAACTGTTATTACAATCTCAACAACATCGTCAACAACATACTCAACGGGAAAGCAGTTTACCGTGTCGGATCCTATGTCTTCGCATAATCCGCCTCCTTATCCGCAAGGAAGGACTTACAATGTTCAAGCCGCAACGGCAGCTGCGCAAGGTCAAAGCATTCCCCAGTCCAATGGATATGACTTGGGACAAAGACATGGAACAATGACAAATGCCACCTACTCTGTACAAAGCACACAAGTGTCCAGTCAGTTGGCAGCACAGCATAACCCACAAGCCGGGTCAAATGTGACTTATAACGGGCAGAGTCCCAACATGTCAAATCACCTGAATGTGCAACATGGTTCCACTTCAAAAGAGCAGCATCGAAGCTCTGCTCATATTATGATTTTACCACCCGACAATCAGCCTAACATGTATAGCCAGGACATGATAAGTGCTATGATCAGTAAAACTCAGCCTCCTCCGAGCTACGAATTCAGCACTCAACATCGGCAGACCCCAAATTCTATTCAGACTCAAGCAGGGCACATAGGTGGGCAACAGCAGAGAGGAGGCACACCAACCATGACTCAACAGCAGTTCAATACAGCAAGACTCACTCCCCAGAATAGTCAGAATCCTAGCAATAGCAGTACTGTATTCAAGCCAATTCCGTCACAGATGGGAGGAGGCAACGTGGTACAGATTCAGACCCAGCTCCCTCAGCATCATCAACCGCAGCCTGCTGTGGTAACGATTAGCCGCATTGATCCGAACAATGATTTAACGGGAGGTAGCAAACCGCCTCCACCATATAGGCCAGCAGCTCCTGTGCAGAGTGTGGAAATGAAGACCAAAGACTTGCATCTCAAAGTTCCCGTCCCTGTTCCTGCTGCTGTTAGTTCAACTGCCCTCCCAGGGCCAGGTTACTCTTCACCACCTATTCTTCAGTCTGTTCGAAGTACCACGGTGGCTAAACCTGTCCTACAGAAAGCCCATGGTCCTGACCAGCCTCCACCTGCTAGGGGTTCATCCCCAGACACAGTCAGCACTCAAAGCACCAGCACACAGAGCTCCTCCACAAGATCAGAATCCCCTCTTGTCAGACCTCCCTCTCTTATTTCAGAGATCTCGGATGTTGGTGATCTTGAGAGTGCATCCAGCGATTCCCAGCCTCTCGAGAAGAGCAGAATAGAATCCCCTGTTCCTGAGCGACGCAACAAGGGTAGGCATAAGGAGAGGTACGAGCCTCGGGTCAAGACCTACAATCCGCAAGCCTACAAATTTTACATGGAGCAACACGTTGAAAATATCCTCAAGTCGCATCGGCAAAGAATCACAAGGCGGATGCAACTTGAGCAGGAGATGCAGCGTGTAGACCTAACCTCTGGGGACCGTGACCAGATGAGGCGTATGCTCTTCCAGAAGGAATCCAACTACCTCCGCCTCAAGCGTGCCAAGATGAACAAATCCATGTTCAAGAAGATCAAAACCCTTGGCATTGGAGCCTTTGGTGAGGTGGCTCTTGCCAGGAAAGTTGACACCAATGCCTTATACGCTGTAAAGAAGCTACGGAAGTTGGATGTCATCCAGCGCAACCAGGCGGGCCACGTGAAAGCAGAGAGGGACATCCTGGCAGAGGCGGACAACGAGTGGGTAGTCAAACTCTACTACTCCTTCCAGGACAAGGACAACCTGTACTTTGTGATGGACTACATCCCAGGGGGTGACCTGATGAGTCTCCTGATCCGTCTAGAGATCTTCGAGGAGGACCTGGCCAGGTTCTACATCGCTGAACTGGTCCTGGCCATAGAGAGTGTACACAAGATGGATTTCATCCACAGAGACATCAAACCAGACAACATCCTAGTTGACAGAGATGGTCATATCAAGCTCACCGACTTTGGTCTCTGCACAGGTTTCAGATGGACCCATGACTCGAAGTACTATCAGAAATGTGAGTTTTGATCTTATACCTCACTTTGCTTATTATAAATTCAGGTTTCAATATTTTAAGCAAATAAATCAGACACATCAGTTGAGATCTATCCACTTGAATTTGGTAATCATTTTAAAGTCACTTCAGTTCATAGGTGCATTACAAGTGCTCGTGCTGTAGAAGAGTAGAATAGGAGACCTTGTACATTGTACATGTAGAAATAATCCCATTAACAGCTCACAGAGGAAGCTATCCCAGGATGAATGTCCATCCTGCGTTGTCAGTCGTTAGTGGTGCATTCAAACAATCAAACTACATCTTATATATTTAATATTCTCATCAATAAACATGACTTGTTTATTAAACTTACAACATGTGTTGTTTTTGCACCTGCTCTTGATAATTCCACCTTTTGTTTCACCCTTTACTCGTTCTTTGATGCAACAGCTGGTCATGCAAGACAAGACAGTATGGAGCCCTTCGACACCATGGACGGTGAGAAGTGCAAATGCATCAACCACTTCGCTCACAAAGAGAAAGAGCTGGACCTTTCATCTCTCGACAAGCGCCCTCTCAAGACGCTGGAGAGGAGAAGGAAGCGGCAGCAGGAGAGGTGCAAGGCCCACTCCTTAGTTGGAACCCCCAATTACATCGCCCCTGAGGTCCTTACCAGAACAGGTGAGGTCAATGGTGATGATAAAGGACCATTTAGTGGCATTCAGGGACAAATACATTTATCATTCATGTGAAACCTGCAAAGATATTGCACACCTGTTAGGCCTTTAGAAAAAAAAGATGTTGTATTGCCCTTTATGCGCCAAAACATTGGTCGGTCGATCAGAAATCTTCTTCTTCTTCCTCTTTGGGCTGATATTTCTCAGTTTTAAATGCTTTAATACATATTTTTTTTAAGCCGACCGTAGATTTCACGATTTTGGGGTCGGTCGCAAAGGGCAATACAACATCTTTTCAACGCTGTATGGAACCCTTAATTGCATAGCTCCAGAGGCGATGATAATTGAAAACAATGAATGGCCTTTGGTATGTTTATACATAAACATTGAATGCTCCGGAGTTCAGTACAATAAAATTCATGAGCAGACAAATGTTATAGTAATGTTATATTGCACCAAGGCCACAGGCTGAGGTTGAAATATTATACCCTATTTTATATGTATATACTATAAATACAAGCTGATTGATCAATCAATTTGGTCCAAGGGTAGAAAAAAACCTGATTGTACTTCAGTTTGTCTTTAACTTATGAGGTCTTGTCTTTCCCATGCAGGATACACCCAGCTGTGTGATTGGTGGAGTGTAGGTGTCATCTTGTACGAGATGCTTGTTGGTCAGCCACCGTTCCATGCAGACTCACCCGCTGAGACCCAATGGAAGGTACGTCATATTTAATTACTTGCCTCTATCACTTTATAATAACCAAATTGTAGCATCCAATGTTGAAGTTCCATACTATGAGAAAGTATTGATTGCAGATGAGAAGACAAAGACATTTTCCAGAAGATATTTTTTCAATAGTTACCCCTGGCTACATTAAAAAAATACGTGTTCGTACATTCATGACCCTACCCCATAGTGTGAACTTCGCAACATGAGATTCTTGCAAATGTTATGGCTCATGCAGAATATAATAATATTGACACTCTGTAAAGTTTCTTGGCTCATGCAGAATATAATAATATTGACACTCTGTAAAGTTTCTTGTCCATACCAAAAGCATATAGGCCATGTGACAGCAGTTTTCAATGGCAAAATGCCCATTCTGTCCTGTAAAGTATCCTACAAGCATCTCACATTGGCAATTTGGGAATGTTCATTGGTTCATAGAACACACCAGTCATGACAAAATCATGCATATTCAACCACTGATCCATTAAAAAAATTCTTCCTGTATGTAGGAACTGTGAGAGGCATTGATCCGTGTTTTTTTTTTTTTAATACAATTTTTGTAAGTAAAATACATATTTGGTGATTAAAGAATACAGTTTTTGAACTCCAGAGGTTGGCAGGGTCTGGTGTTGAGTTAAAGCTAATCCCAGTGTCTTATCTGTATTTTGTTGACTATCTTCTTCAGGTGATCAATTGGAAACAGTGCCTTCACATCCCGTCCCAAGCCAAGCTGAGCCGTGACGCCTCTGACTTCATCCTCCGTCTGTGCACGGGACCCGAGGAGCGTCTGGGCAAGAATGGCGTCCTGGACATCAAGTCGCATCCGTTCTTCCAGACCATAGACTTGGACTCCAACATCCGCAAGATGAAGGCCCCCTACATCCCCACCGTCCGCCACCCCACTGATACCTCCAACTTCGATCCCGTCTCGCCCAACAAGCTCGGCTCCGACTCCAGCACCGACAGCTGGGATAGTAACCCCAACGAGGAGGAGAACCATCGGCAGCAGACGGACCATGCCTTCTTCGAGTTCACCTTCCGGAGGTTCTTCGACGATAACGGGCATCCCTACCCGATGCCCATCGACATTGATTCGTCGCCGGGACCGGGGGAGATGGAGAGATCGGAAGGAGATGGAGCTGCTGCTCAAAGTAGCTTAGACATGCAAGACATGGTCTATGTCTGATTACGATGACATCAGTTAGTTTCTTTGAAACAAGATCTTAACAGCACATGATGTGCTGCGACTTGTTTACATTGTCTTTTCATGTTTTGTTGTATGGTATGTTTTGTTCCTGTCTCCTCAAAGGAGACATCTACCACTGATAATGTGTTTATTTTGACTTTCACGATTTTCAGCTGCATAGTTCATTTTCAAATGAAAAAATATGCCAAAGTGCAAAACAAAATGACTGAAAAGATGCTTCTGACAGAAAAGCATTTGAAATATTGAAAAAACCTGACATACAAATCTTCAAATAAAATGGCAGTAACTGCTTTTTTTTTTTTTTTTTTCGTGAGTACATGTGGATAGCTAGGGGTAGGTTTAATATTCAACTTCTACTGTTGAAAATTCTCTAGGTGATATATCAGATTTGCTTTCTTTTCAGTATTTTCTCATTAGTTAAAGTCTGGTGGGCGTCTGCTACCGTAAAGTACAGTTTTATTGGTTGTATGGTTTATTTTGGGAAAACAAAAATGTATTTGGTTGCTCTCCGTACAGGCATAGCCAAGATGGAATGTGGTGAAATTCGACACGCTTGAATCGTCAGACCACAATCCTTGTCTAGGCAGTGTTCACACAGAGAGTTAACGCACTCTGTAATACGTTTTTAACATGGATTTCTAATTGGTTTCAAACACGATTGATCTTCAATGGGATCAAAGTCTTTAAATAGGAACAACCTGAAATGAGTGTAATTTTGTTCACCCCTCCGCTAAGTGCATTCATGAGTATGACATGCACAGCCAACGAAGGTATCCAAAAGACTTTGATTTATCATTATTGATTTACCAATTATTTATACCAATCTTTATACACAATGAACAATATCTTGGAATGAATATTTCCATTGTTGTTTTTTTTAAAGCAATTTAAATAGAGTAATGAATCATTATCATGCCACTTTCATTTTTGCACTCAAGAAATAACATTCTATGGCCCACCCTATAATGTTATGTAGAGTTAGAGTGTTATCAGTGACATGGGAGAAGATACACAGGGCATTTGATGTGTGTAGTTCAGGCATGCAGCAGACCGTCATTACCAGTTATGTGTGTAGGAGTCCGCCATTGTGATGGTGGTACATTCCAACATGCCTCGCATACATGTAATTGATATTTAAAGACGAGGGTTCAAGAGGTCATGGAAGTAAGTCACCGTGCAAAGTTCAGGGATATTCCTCTTACAAAACAATACACATCATTCATTTGTAAGAACCAAAAGAGCATTGAGTGAGGACAAATGTTGTTAGAATTTCATGTCCAGTGCTTTTTCCTCTTACAAAACAATACACGTCTATCATTCGTAGTAAGAGCTAAAAGGGCATTGAGTGAGGACAAATGTTATTAGAATTTCATGCCCATTTTCAGTTTTGAAAGGACAATGCCAAGGAAAATAGGAAATCATGTTCGGTGCTTTTTCCTCTTAACAAACAACACACGTCATTCATCTGTAGTAAGAACCTAAAGGGCATTAGCAATAAGTGAAGATAATTTTGTTTAGAATACCATGTCCATTTTCAGTTTTGAAAGGGCAATGCCAAGGAAAAAAAGAAATCATATCCATTGCTTTTTCCTCTTAAAAAACAATACACAATGATCATTCGTAGTAAGAACCAAAAGGGTATTAAGTAAGGACAAATGTGATTAGAATTTCATGCCCATTTTCAGCTTTAAAAAGAAAAAGAGGAAATCATGTCTGATGCTTGTTGCTCATACCAACTGTTAAAAACACTGCAAGTGTGTTTCAAGGCGAGGGCTAAAAGGGCATTAATTTAGTTTAGTTCCATCAGGATTTTACACCTTATGGTCTTTATAGGACAGTTTTTTTAGAAAAGTGGAAGAACATGTCAGATTTGTTTGCTTGTTTGCCAAGTGAAAAAACAATGCAAGTCGCTGGTTCATATTGAGGATTAAAAGGGCATTAGTTGAGTACAAAGTCCATTAGGATATAGTTCCTCTTTTGGTAGTAAGCAATGAAGATCAAAAACAGATTTCATTTCTCAAACTTAATGGCCCAAATTCACAAAACAAGGTTTGAGCTCAAACCTCCTTTTGTTTCGCCAAACCTCCTTTTGTTCTTTACAAACCAGGTTTGTAAAAAACGCTTAAAACGTGTCATATGACGTACAAAAAACCAAGGTTTGTCGACAACCCTCCTTTGTGAATTCAGGCCAACGAATCTGCTCTTATTAGCAGACTAATTTAAAGGGTAATAATAATTTATGAATATCTTACTGAAACCCATTTAAAATCTATTTTGAAATCACAATGTGTATTCTATTAAAAGTACTGTTATCACCTGGGTTTCTCAGAGTATCGTATTCAAACAATTTGTAGAGGAATTTGATTAATGGATGTTAAACTGAGCCACAAGTATTTCACACCTAAATGAAATAATTCACTTCAAATATGGTCTAGTCCTTCTCTTTATTAGGACTCCAGTGTGTTGTGTATTCATACAATACTTGAAGGGAAAATAGAGATACATGTATATTTAAATCTATGCTACAAAATGATAATAATAATTAGTCATGATAATATGTCTTGTTTACCCAGGGTAGCCTCATCAGTACTGATACTAGGGACTTTTAGATTTGCATGTCGACATAGTGGACTACAACGTGTGACGTCCTTTTAAGGCATTGGCAGTGCCATAAAAGGACGACGCATTGCCTTAAAGGACATCACACGTAGCAGTCCACTATGTCGACGTGCAAATCTGAAAGTCCCTATTGTTCTCCCTGAGGGCCCTGCAATCATGTCATATATACTCATTTGAGCAAAATGTCCTCCCTGGTTTAAAGAATTTTTTTTTTTTTTTGAAGTTTCAGTGAATTGCAACCAACACAGTACGTCACTACATGTAATATAGTACTGCTCAAACAGTCACTAATTTGATGATTTTCTGGCTCGATTAAAAGCAAGAATCTGGAATGTTGGAATTCAATTTTGCTGAATTATACATTTCCCAAATTAGACGGAATAAACATTCTTGTGTGGTTCCTAAAAATGACATTTATAAATCTTCCCTGTTTAGTCTCTATTTAGAATATATATGTAATCTCAGTGCAACAACCATCACTATAAGACTCCAAAGCTTTCTGTCTATTCACAAATAAGCCTTGCAATGGGTGCAACTTGTGCAGGACAAAGAAATTCCATTTTCCAAAATGGCTGCTTATTGGATGATCAAAAAAACACGTTTTCGCAGAGGCAATCATTCATAACAAGGATTCTTTGCCCTGCATCGTGTACGTGATATTATGTTTTATTTTTTATATGATTTCAATTTTAAAGCACCTCTGCTCAAGTAGCGAATGTATGTAAATATATGCTCTACCACCCCCCTGCCGGCTCGAAAAGCAAATTACTTCTCTCCTTGTAGTTATGAGTGTAACCTTGTTTTTAAGGAATGCAAAGATTTCATTGGAATTTCATGGGAATTTGAGCACCAAAAATGAGCTACAGGTAGTGCTCCTATTTCTGAAGTATGTTTTGATTTTGATTTTTCACTCTCACAACAGGGAAAATTTTGCTCTACCAATTTCCTCCTGTTATTTTTCATATACATGTATGCTAAATGTAAACAATCTTGAATATTTAAAAGTTGTGATTCTTTTCTGTGTGTCGTAAGTTTTCAATCTGGAAGTTTACTTTTGCAAAATTCAAAATGTTAAGATTTGGCTTGAACAATACCATCTCTTCCTTTGTAATTGAGGCACTTACCCCAAGTATTCAAAAATGTACTGGTACTTGTTCATATTTTACGTTTTCATGAATATGCAGAAAACTCTGCTTGCACAAAAACTTTGTTCTAAATTTCATGTATTGACATTTTTGTTGTCCTTTTTGGTGAGAAGTGTTTTTTTAGGGATCTTCCTCCTGATATGATGGTTTTAGTATATTTGTCAGTTGTATCATTTAAAGCCTGTCTGCACTACTTGTAGCAGCTTGCGCCCTCTATATAGCAAACAATGCCTAAGCAGTACCCTTTGGCCCCCATGAGAGTTGATTTGATGAGATAACTACCTGTTGTTGACCATGCAGGGAGGTCTAATCCCTCCTGGCCAAACTAGTGCAGATAGGCTTTAAAAGAATGTATGAATTTGTTCTTCTGTCATAGATGTAGTTTTCAACTAATGATAATCATGAAGAAAAAAAGGGGTGATATATGCTCTCTCTCTCTCTCTTACTACTTGTGCCAATGCACATTATGGTTTGAAATGCACCTTTTATATTGCAGTAAACAGGAGTGGTTGCCTAAATTACTCCATTTTTTCCTTCTCTTTCTCTCTTTCTCCTCTCTCCTTCCTCTCTTTCTCTCTCTCCCCTGCAATCTTTCATGATCTCTTTGATCTCTTAAACAAAGCTCTTTTAAAGAGATCTCTTTCTCCAGTCTCTGTTAACCCAAACAAACGGCACTAGAAGCAGCTTTTGCTGCACTTACATTCTATATTATAGCATGTAAGAGTTCCCCTCATAAAGCCTTTCTTAGCACTCGGAGTGTTTCTATTTGTGTAACATTTAACAGCTTAAGTTCTTGAAATTATATCATTTGATTTTAATAAAGAATGAACAAGACAAAATTCTTGCTGAAACTAAAAAAAAAACCTGTACAATTCTTCAGAGCCAAAGAATTTCATGTTTTTATAATGATATGTATTTATGAATATATTTAAAAAATGCCTTAGGCCAAGATCAGTACATAATACTTTTGTCAATAATGTAGAATTTTGTAGAATAAAACAAATACCAGAAAGAGCCTATATTTGTGAAAATACTGATAATGCCTTGTACATGTTTTTTTTTAAAAAGAAATATTCCTCTCCCATGTACTTTGTTACCCCTATCATGACCAAAAGAGAAAATAATTGTATATTTCTATAAAGATATATACAGATTTCCCTTGAATATTCAGAGTGTGATAGGGGTACAGATATGTTATATACTTGTGAGCCCCCCGCATATATGGTGTTTTATATAATTCAAACTATATGTGCAGAAAGGAAGTTTGGGTCATAAATTGTATATGTGAATATTAGATGACCAAGACACGTTTTGTGTACATTGAAAGCAATTAAATTCAACATGTCCATTGGAATATTTTTGTGTTCAGTGCTTTATTATGTCTGTTTTGTTAATGTATGAGTGAGCAAGAATGTGACTTGATTGATAAAAGTCTGGGTTTTTGATTGAGTATTATTGATTGATGGATGGATGGATGTACATGTATTTGAATTAGGTGGGGGAATAATAATTATAATCAGAGACCAAGTGCACGATCTGCATATAGATGAAAATTCTTCCATTTCCAATTAAATCACTTTCAGATTCAAGGATCTTCTTTTTTTTCTCAGAAATTTGAAGTCTTTGGTATTTAAGTATTATTAAACCCCACTGACCCAAGAACCAGGAATGGTCTAGTGGTATAGTTTATGGATGGAGATTGTATAGCAATTGGAGGATCCAAGATCAAGGCTCTCCTTGTCTGCACATTTTTACTGTTAAGTCACTTTCAGACTCATGGATCTTTTTTCTCTCATAAATTAGAAGACTTTGGTATTTAAGTGTTATTGGTCCCAACTGACCCAAGGACCAGGGATGGTCTAGTGGAATGGTCTGGTTGTATATTCTATAGATATTGTATAGCAATGGGGATCCAAGATCAAGGCTCTGCTTACCTGTATACTTTTTACTGACCTGCTTTCATCCATACATAAATCAATCTTGCAGGATGAGAAGAGGGAAGAGAGAGGGAAGAGAGAGGGAAGAGAGAGAGAGAGTGTGTGTGTGTGTGAAAGGGTAGAGAGAGGGAAGAGAGAGGGAAGAGAGAGCGAAGAGAGAGGGAAGAGAGAGGGTAGAGAGAGGGAAGAGAGAGGGAAGAGAGAGCGAAGAGAGAGGGAAGAGAGAGGGTAGAGAGAGGGAAGAGAGAGGGAAGAGAGAGAGAGAGAGTGTGTGTGTGTGAAAGGGTAGAGAGAGGGAAGAGAGAGCGAAGAGAGAGGGAAGAGAGAGGGTAGAGAGAGGGAAGAGAGAGGGAAGAGAGAGCGAAGAGAGAGGGAAGAGAGAGGGTAGAGAGAGGGAAGAGAGAGGGTAGAGAGAGGGAAGAGAGAGGGAAGAGAGAGCGAAGAGAGAGGGAAGAGAGAGGGTAGAGAGAGGGAAGAGAGAGGGAAGAGAGAGGGTAGAGAGAGGGAAGAGAGAGGGAAGAGAGAGGGAAGAGAGAGGGTAGAGAGAGGGAAGAGAGAGGGTAGAGAGAGGGTAGAGAGAGGGAAGAGAGAGGGAAGAGAGAGGGAAGAGAGAGGGTAGAGAGAGGGAAGAGAGAGGGAAGAGAGAGGGAAGAGAGAGGGAAGAGAGAGGGTAGAGAGAGGGTAGAGAGAGGGAAGAGAGAGGGTAGAGAGAGGGAAGAGAGAGGGAAGAGAGAGGGAAGAGAGAGGGTAGAGAGAGGGTAGAGAGAGGGAAGAGAGAGGGAAGAGAGAGGGTAGAGAGAGGGAAGAGAGAGGGAAGAGAGAGGGAAGAGAGAGGGTAGAGAGAGGGAAGAGAGAGGGTAGAGAGAGGGAAGAGAGAGGGAAGAGAGAGGGAAGAGAGAGGGAAGAGAGAGGGAAGAGAGAGGGTAGAGAGAGGGAAGAGAGAGGGAAGAGAGAGGGTAGAGAGAGGGTAGAGAGAGGGAAGAGAGAGGGAAGAGAGAGGGTAGAGAGAGGGAAGAGAGAGGGAAGAGAGAGGGAAGAGAGAGGGTAGAGAGAGGGAAGAGAGAGGGAAGAGAGAGGGAAGAGAGAGGGTAGAGAGAGGGAAGAGAGAGGGAAGAGAGAGGGAAGAGAGAGGGTAGAGAGAGGGAAGAGAGAGGGAAGAGAGAGGGTAGAGAGAGGGTAGAGAGAGGAAGAGAGAGGGAAGAGAGAGGGAAGAGAGAGGGTAGAGAGAGGGTAGAGAGAGGGAAGAGAGAGGGAAGAGAGAGGGAAGAGAGAGGGTAGAGAGAGGGAAGAGAGAGGGAAGAGAGAGGGTAGAGAGAGGGAAGAGAGAGGGTAGAGAGAGGGTAGAGAGAGGGAAGAGAGAGGGAAGAGAGAGGGTAGAGAGAGGGTAGAGAGAGGGTAGAGAGAGGGAAGAGAGAGGGAAGAGAGAGGGAAGAGAGAGGGTAGAGAGAGGGAAGAGAGAGGGTAGAGAGAGGGTAGAGAGAGGGAAGAGAGAGGGAAGAGAGAGGGTAGAGAGAGGGTAGAGAGAGGGAAGAGAGAGGGAAGAGAGAGGGAAGAGAGAGGGTAGAGAGAGGGAAGAGAGAGGGAAGAGAGAGGGTAGAGAGAGGGAAGAGAGAGGGAAGAGAGAGGGTAGAGAGAGGGTAGAGAGAGGGTAGAGAGAGGGTAGAGAGAGGGAAGAGAGAGGGTAGAGAGAGGGTAGAGAGAGGGAAGAGAGAGGGAAGAGAGAGGGTAGAGAGAGGGTAGAGAGAGGGAAGAGAGAGGGAAGAGAGAGGGAAGAGAGAGGGTAGAGAGAGGGAAGAGAGAGGGAAGAGAGAGGGTAGAGAGAGGGAAGAGAGAGGGAAGAGAGAGGGTAGAGAGAGGGTAGAGAGAGGGTAGAGAGAGGGTAGAGAGAGGGAAGAGAGAGGGAAGAGAGAGGGTAGAGAGAGGGAAGAGAGAGGGAAGAGAGAGGGTAGAGAGAGGGTAGAGAGAGGGTAGAGAGAGGGTAGAGAGAGGGAAGAGAGAGGGAAGAGAGAGGGAAGAGAGAGGGTAGAGAGAGGGAAGAGAGAGGGAAGAGAGAGGGAAGAGAGAGGGAAGAGAGAGGGAAGAGAGAGGGAAGAGAGAGGGAAGAGAGAGGGAAGAGAGAGGGAAGAGAGAGGGAAGAGAGAGGGTAGAGAGAGGGAAGAGAGAGGGTAGAGAGAGGGAAGAGAGAGGGTAGAGAGAGGGAAGAGAGAGGGAAGAGAGAGGGAAGAGAGAGGGAAGAGAGAGGGAAGAGAGAGGGTAGAGAGAGGGAAGAGAGAGGGAAGAGAGAGGGTAGAGAGAGGGAAGAGAGAGGGAAGAGAGAGGGAAGAGAGAGGGTAGAGAGAGGGAAGAGAGAGGGAAGAGAGAGGGAAGAGAGAGGGAAGAGAGAGGGAAGAGAGAGGGTAGAGAGAGGGAAGAGAGAGGGAAGAGAGAGGGTAGAGAGAGGGTAGAGAGAGGGAAGAGAGAGGGAAGAGAGAGGGTAGAGAGAGGGTAGAGAGAGGGAAGAGAGAGGGTAGAGAATAATGGAAGATAATGAAAGAAAAAGAAAAACATAGTGAGATAATTGAAGAAAAAGATACTTTAGAAACATACATACTTAAGAAACATTCTAAAAAAACAAACCTTTCCTCTTTTTCCCTTTTCATCTCTTTTCCCCTTGCAATATTCTTTCCCCTTTCTCTTTCTCCTTATTTGTGTGCATTTGTTCATCCTTTATATATTCCCTCCCCCCCCCCTTTCAATCTCTCTCATTCATTACATTAATATCTTGTTCAGTTAATGACACTTACTTCATATTTTTCATTTTAATTCCATCATTATCATGAGGTAATATAAATCTTCACATCTTCATAAAATGACATTTATAACATAAGCAATCATACCAGAATCTACATCTTAATGCTTCAGCAAATAAAGTGACACATATCCAATGTACAAACATATCTGATACTTTTCATAATTATGTTTACAATCATGTTCAGAATATGATGAAACAGAACTGTTATGGTATCTAAAAATCCAATCAATCACCACATGATATAATTGTTCTCAAATAATAATTATTGTAAATTTATGCTATGCAATATCAATGGAAAAGAGATAAATCAGTATATTTTGCATTACACTGATTAACTGACTAATTGTGGTGTATTTTCCTATCACTTCCACCCAGCAGTAACTCTTCATATTGACTTTGAGTACATGTATGTATGATGGTAACAAATTATTTGGGCAAAAAAGGCAATTTGGGGGATGTTTGCAAACTTTTTTATGTCTACATATCTGAAAAAAGGGATGAGTATGTTGAAAGAGCTAGATATTTCACAGAAAATGGGTAACATTTTTACGATGTTTTCGTTATTGCAAGAATAGGGTGCTTTTCGCTCACGTTAACTCAACAAGCCAAACTTGTGGTATTATGCAGATCCCATTTTGTACCAGTTTTGCATAAAAGGGGGGTCATATTTTGTGGAAAATATCCTTGAGAGTACGCAAATTAATGGATTATTTTCAACTTTCCTAATGATCATATTTTAAACTTTTCGTGTATGTAATGGCACCATCCCGCACTTCCACCAGCTTTTCACAGATTGGCCATCAGTCTGCTGATGAGATTCAAAGAGGGGTGTCCAATCATCTCTCACTCTTTTGCTGGCAGTGATGACATCAGAGACAGTATTCTCCACAACTCTTCAAGTCCTAACATGTCAGTTGCTTGGTTACTATGGTGATTTGAAGAACATCAGCTGCCTTTGATTCGGGGGATGTCCTTGCCGTCGATGACCGGGATCACCTTAAAGGACTGGAAGTATTCCAGGATCTTCTTGGTGTCGTCCAGGTCCATCTTATAGTCCTGGGCTAACCTCTCTGCATTGAACTCCTGGAAAAGAAACATGTGGAGGTGTCATGATCGAATCAACAACATTACTTACGTTATTGAATGAAGACCACTTTTTTCGCATATCTAATGAGCTACGACCTTCAACCTTTGACCTACATATTCTGAAAACGAACTTGGGCTGTATTTCGATACCATGTACCTTCTTATCAAATTTCATTAAAATCCATTAAACATTACTAAAGTTACCGAACGGAAACCAGATTTTCAAATAGCTTTTTTTTAAATATTTAATGATTCATCAAACATTAATTAATTTTGCCAGCCATATTTCTACAGTCTAATCTGTCTAGGGACCGCCCAAGGGAAACAAAAAAGTGGCCTTTGTAGACAGGTGGTCTTTGTAGACAGGTGGTCACTAAAGCAGATTTGACTGTATTAGTTTAACCTTTTTTTGCACCTGATATAACTAGGTTTTGATACAAAAAGGTAATTTCCAAGGTCTAAAGGAGTCTATTACATTATGCAGGGTCAGATCCAGGGTTTTGTAAACAGGGGAAGGGGAGTGGGGGCAAAAAAAAATTGATGAGCAAAATAACATAAGGTCATCAGATTTATTTGGCGAAGGGGTGCCTATTCGCTCCAAAATTCTGCGGATCACATAGGTACACTTCCATTTATCTTCATGCAAAAGGCCCCATGGCCATTAAGCTATTTCCAATGGTGAAGAGTAGGTGGCTCAAGTTTTTGTTTGCGCCCACCCCCCCCCCCCCCCCTTCCCCCGTTTACAAAACCCTGGATCTGACCCTGTTTAATGTCATATACTCCTTTAGACCTTGGAAATTACCTTTTTATATCAAAACTTAGTTATATCAGGTGCAAAAAAAAGGTTAAACCAATAGAAGTATGGCTGGCACATAGGTACACTTCCATTTATTTTCATGCAAAAGGCCCCATGACCATTAAGTTATTTCCAATGGTGAAGAGTAGGTGGCTCAAGATTTTTTTAAAGCCTATAGGAATTAGAAATATCGCAATCTGTATTGCCGCGCAATGTGAATGTATCCCCGGGCAGCGATTTTGTGTCATCCTTAAGTTCGAAGGAGGGACAAAGATCCCCTCTCCCCTCCCTGAAACAAAAGGAAGACGTAGAGATCGCCACTAGTTGCTTGGACTATTGTCAAGACTAGGAGCAGCATCACCAAAACAATATTTGTGTCGATGTAGACACACCAAGAAATGTGGCAGTTAGAGCGCATAAAAGAAATGTGGCAGTTAGAGCGCATAAAAGACATTATGCCCTTTGGCCATATAAAAGACAGAACAATGAGGGCAGCATCGCCCAAAAGTGTAGATGTGTAGATTGTACCAAGATACATCTCCATTCAAAATTCGAAAGAAATCTGTCATGAAATGTAACCTGCAGGGCACACACTAGACATCCACAAAAATGTGGTCTTTTACCCTATAGAAGACGGAACACTGGGGGCAGCATCAACAAAAGTTATATGTGCGTAGATTATACCAAAATCTACACCTTTGTTTAAAATTTTAACGCAATCGCTTGAAAAATGTGACATATAGAGCGCACAAAAATCATCCACAAAAATATGGTCTTTTACCCTATAGAAGCGAAACACTGGGGACAGCATCACCAAAAAGTTAAAGGTGTGTACATTATACCAAGATACACCGCCATACAAAATTTGAAAGAAATCTGTCAAGGAATGTGGTAGTTAGAGCGCACACAAAAATATGCACGGCGGCGGCATAATGCTGCTGAATCCAAAGTACCCCAACGGCATAATGCCGGGGGATACAATGAAACAATTGAGTAGTCAATGGGTTCAATTTTAAGCATGTCTGCAGTGGTTTGGCCAGGGTGGATTAGACCTCCCTGCAAGGTCACTGACAGGTGGTTATCTCATCAAATCAGCTCTCAGTTAACATAAGAAAAAGGGGATCATGGGGGACCAACAAGCAACGATTAGGCATTGTTTGCTATATAAAGGGCGCAAGTAGCTACAAGTAGTGCAGTGGGGCTTTAACTGACAAGAACTCTCACATTTTTATTCCTCTTGTGTTTAGCTAGTAGTTCCATGGCTTGTCCCACCGATAGCCTCCCTTCTGGGACTTCATCAGCTTCCAAGAACACCGCCGGCGACCCTGGATTGGCCTTTCGATTCTGCGGAAGAGGGCGAGCTTTCTTTTGGGATTCGGCGGCATCAGCTTCATTCATCAAACGCTTCAAAACAAAAACAAACACAAACACAAATACATGAGAATGATGTGTCAATTGCAACAATAAACAAAAGATGTGCACCCTTGTTATTAGGTAAAGTCAAACATCCCTTTTATAGTGACAATCTGTATTTTAACAAAAGCTTCCTTGAAAAATACTTTTTATTGAAACAAAACCATTACGATGGGAACCTATCTGAAGTATAGCGAGCACCTGTAAATATGACTTGCTAAACTAAGGCATTCTTTACTGTTGACTCCTTTTCTTTCATTCTATCCTTTTTCTTTGATATTTATCTAACCTGTTTAACAGACTAGCCAAAGCAAGGAAATGATAAAATAACTTCCTGTTTTTTAAATTATCCAAGAAACACAAGCATCAAATAATGTTTCCCCTACAAGTTGCTTTACGTAGAGCATTGAGCTGAATCTGTTTGTTCACAAACTTCCCTGCCTCGTTGCAACATTCTCGAGGAATGGGGTGATTTAGCTACTACATCATTAAGACAGTAATAGGTGACAGAGCATTCATATGTCATAATGAGGAAGATGGCTAAATGGAGTGATGAAGGAAGACGTGAAAGAGGAGTTCGCTGTGTGGACCTGCCTTTGGCAAAACACCCAAGAGAGAGAGAGAGAGATTAAAGAAGTGCTAGGTACCATTTTGCAGCAATTAGGTATATCTGCGAGATGAAATCAAAAGGATACATCGATATCTGTTCATACCTTTTTGGTACATGTTTTACACAGTTTCAAGTGGACTGAAGAATATACCGGTTTACAAACATATTCAAATGTATGGATGTTTCTTTCCTGCGGACCTAGTGACGCAGTTCCGTTAACCTGTTATTAATGAACTACAATACTTGGAATCCAGTCTGCATACATTACTTGTTGCTATATCAGGCAAAATCTTTGGCAAGATTTCTGGTTGTCAAGAACAACAGTGGCCACTTTCTGTTTCCCCTGGGTGGCCTTAAAGTGTGGGGGCGGTATTCTGAACCCTGTGTTATCTCTAATATTGTTGTATCTTTGAAGATAAGATAAAGTTGGTATTCTGAACATTGTTGTAACTTTTGTGTTATCTTTTGTTGTATCTTTTCTCTCATCTTATTGGCCGCGCCTGCGCTCATACTTTGGTGCGCTTGTAATTGTGCGTATTATTAATAAAGTGGCATTTAATTCTCATTTGCATATGCACACGGGAGATAATATGTCGAGATAATTGGTATTCTGAAAGTTGTTGTATCTTTTATCTTATCTTGCATGGTATTTACAACAGGTAGGGGGTAGTTGTATCTTTCGTGGTGATATAATGGCGGCAATATTTTTTGCCCAGAACCAACTTCGTGCCAATAGACGAGTTAGAAGAAGATTGTGTGTTGACCGGAAACATCACAGATGAGAACTTTCTAAGATATTACATGCTAGGATAGGACTATTTTAATGCTCTCATCTTAACCAATATAGTGAAAGCGTGATTTGTCTTCATGATCCACATTCAACAGCGCATAATGATGACGCGCGTAATAAGTGCTCAAATAACTAATTACGCCCAAGATTAGTATGCGCTAGGCGCATCTTCAGATATGGCATAAAGTATTCCTATTGGTTGATCTACTTATCATGCTTATATAAAATAGATTTTGATTGGTAGGGTCCATAAAAATGGGCGTGTCATCAATGGTCAAAGATAAGATAGAGGCGGTCCTTCAAGAGATAACACAGGGATAAAACAATGTTCAGAATACCAACTTACAACAATATTAGCGCTGTCTTATCTCTGGAAGATACAACAAAAGATAACACAAAACTTACAACAATGTTCAGAATACCACCCCGGGTTCATAGAAAATCACAAATATGGCAAATAGCGTATTACTAGAAACTGGTAAGCTAAAAGATGGCCATCGGGTGATTTATAAAAATACAAATAAAACAACCTCCATAGCATCTAGGATATGCGAGAGATTCGCCGGAAAAATAACGATGTTTTAATGCCGTCACAATATGAACCAACCCTGCCCAAGCAGACGACATCCCACAAAGAATGAACATAATTGCAATGCTTTTATTTCTCAAATTATAATGAATTTAGTGTATATAAATGTGATGGAATTTTACCCCATTCAAAAAGGGATATGACCCCCATTCTGATTTGTTCCCTCTTGAAACGCCGAACATGCCGCGGTGTATGCAGCTGAAAATACAATGGCGTCTTATTTTGTTTACAAGCGACGGATTCCTTTTTTTTTTTATCCTTGCATTTTTTATCAAAATAATATAATATCATGCACAGGGTTTAGAGTGAGGCAATAGATTAAACATTTCGCCTGAGGTTATTGAAGTAAGAGAAATAACTGAAGAAAAGATGACAAATAAAGACAGGCACTGAAATTGTGTGAGATGTCATGGGACATCGTCTGCTTGCGCACATCATGTTCAACATGTGACGTCATATCTCAGCAGCGACCAGGGAGCTTTTCCAGGTGCTATGTCAGGGCTGTATCTAATCGTTTTGTAAATGTTAATAATCATTACACCGAATGTTTCCAAGCATTGGCTTTTGATAACCTTGGCCAATCAAAGTGTCACCTTTGCAATAATGCAATAAAGTTAGTTTTTTAAATCAATGAACCTTCTCTTTAATAGGCAGGTTTGACTGTATTATCACTAAAAAATAAAAAGCTGAGGGGGTGAACTGACCTTCCCTTCGACCTCTTCCGACACAACCTTGACGTCTTTCAGCATTCCAAGGAGACTCTCATCCTTCCTCTGTTGCTGCTCCAATATCTGGGGATTCTCTGATTGAACAAAAAAAAAAGAATTTTTACATTCAATTCACACAATTTTAGGTCTTTTTTAACTATTAATGATCATTTTATGGTGTGAATACTGAATATTCAATAGGCTCAGAACATAATGTGACATTGCATTTTTATTAAACTGTTTTGGGGGGACGGACAGACCCCATGCGTGTTACGAAAATGTCCGGTAAAGGGGTACTTTTCGTGCGACAAAGTCCGGCCCGAGAATTGTAAAAAAAAAGGGGTGTATTAACTTTTCACCCGGAGATTTCTTTAAAAAGGGGGTGTTTTTTTGTTTTTTCTCTCATCTCTTTGGATTCCTGAGAAATTATTCTGAATTTAGGGGGTACATTGAGCAGTTTTCATGATTTAGGGGGGTCTCCAAGGCAGGAAAAGCCTGCGAAAAGCCCGCGAAAGGGGGGTTCGGAAATGTTGGCAGTCCTCAGATAGGGGGTGCTTTCAAAAAGAGGGAACAAGCATATGCGTACCCTAAATAACACTGAGTGGGGGGCCGGGGGACGGTCACTATGAACATGACGGACAAAGAAAGCTGACAAAATATACAGTTCCTCATTCTACCCTCAACAATTGCTAGGGTAGACAAAGAAACATCCCTTCGCTGCTATTATGTAAAAATGTGTAGAACAGGTGAATATGCATGTGACACCTGTTCTACAGATTTTTGAATAATAGCAGTGAACGGATGTTCCTTTGTCTACCATAGCAATTGTTGAGGGTAGAATGAGGAACTGTATATTTTGTCAGCTTTCTTTGTCCGTCATGTTCATAGTAGGTGCAGTGGGGGCCTTTAAAGCTACACAATCACATGGCTGGCTCCATCATCAAGCCACATGCATAAATCAATTTCCACTTCTATCAAAAGCAAATTAATAGGCCAGTTTCTGCGATTACTTAATGCGCGGTTACTGTAACTAGGACGGTCAAGCTTTGCCGTACCGCTATATTGAATCTCTGCATTTTGTATTAGACTGTCGGTTCTTGCCGTTAAATTTCATTCATATCTTTCTATCAAAACCGAGTTTATATATATAAATTTCTGTTCTGGCCAGAGATGTCTTCCAACTTGCCATTCAACAAGCTGAGTTTCAGGCAGCTGCAATATTTTCTTAGAAAAAAAGGAATTTCGACCACGGTATACACCTGAGAAAAGAAGAGTTAAATTAGCTTCCGCGGTAGCGTACATTAGCCTGCCCTTAGCCCCTGACCTAGGGGCCGGTGTCGCTCGGTAGACGTGAGTGTGGGCTAATCACAACGGGCAGGATTTTGGGGTGGGTTGCAGGCGGGGGCGCGCCTGTGTGAAGTCATCTACCGTATTGTCTCAGATCCTCATTATGGTAGATAACTTCACACAGGCGTGTGCCCGCCCGCCCGCAACCCACCATCGGTATGCACTTGTATTGTGCAGCGGTTTGCCGCGAAACCTGTGAAAAAGTGTATACTATTATATCAATTTTTTCCAAAAATACTTGAAACAGGTAAATAACATAACAACTTTTAACTCATGATCTTTATTTGGATATTTACTGAATATTTACTTCATTTTCACGCCAGAGTTACGGGTCAAATTTTGGATAGGTTTCCATGGTTTCTGAACAAGCGCCCAAATTTTTAGGCACCCAGGCCAGTCCAAAAGTGGTTCATTCCATGCGAAAGTGCATTAGCGTTCATTAATCCGGGTCTAAATTTAATGAAGTTGTATAATGCCTTTAATGGAGTATTATAAAACGATTCACGGCCACATCTCAAAAATCATCCCATCCAAATTCCAGCCCGTCAGTCAGCTCAGCACCCGGCCGGATACTAATTACCATAACCACAACACAACGACAAGTACCCCAGAGTTCTGGGAGAGTTCGCACTCAGCAGAGCCTCAGCTCCGCAAGGCAGTTTCAATAACTCAGTCATACCTCGCTGATATTGAGCTATTTTCTCAGCTGTCTTGGGATGTTTTGGAGCAGGTCTTGGCTTCTGCTGATCAAGTAAACGATGTGCCCTGCTTTCCACATTGAAATTTGTAGCAATTCTCCTCAAAGCGCCTCCCATTTTGCAATGATTTAACCAGTCTTTTCCGGCTTCACGTACCGACACTGCAGCAGCATGACCGACTTGATTACCCAATACATGTACAGAGTTAAGACGATAGATGGCGTTGTCACTTTTAGTTTTCCCTATTTGTCAGTTATACTGCAAACAATAATTTGTCAAATATTAATTCACAATTTTTGAATTATCAGTTATTGTTATAACGGAGCGGGTCAAATATATCTACTCCAAACATTGCAACAGCGGCATCAGTCATTGCATTGGCCTTGTTCCATATATACGCGACTATATGACGTTCTGATATTATCACCATAATTATTGGCTTCGAATTAAACTTGAACTTGATAGAAATCTTCACACAGCGTCGTAAAAATGGCAAATGGAATGCATTATCTCACTTTGGGTATGGCGGTTTTAGTCGTGACCGTTGGAATACTGAAAGTAGCACCTATCGACCCTGCGCATGGGTTTATGGTAAGAATATACTCGCAAAAGTTGACAAAAAAGCCTTCGTAATTATTTCGTGATTAGAAATGAGAAACTTTAAAATACCAGTGGTTCGGGTAGTATTACTATTAGCCTTATATTATATTATATAGAATATGCACTGCCTACATTATGTAGTACGATCGACCTTGTTTACATTAGACTACGTCATTACACGTACGTTTTTTGTGAGTATAGTCTATACGTACATGAGTTGCATGATGTGTATTGGATTATTAAAGGAATAGACATATAATGGTTGTTATTATTATCTTTATCGTAATATTTATTCTTCTGTCTGAAGGATAACATAACTATATTGATGTATTTAACTTCATGACTCCCACGATTCTCCAGTACTATAGAAGAGGCGGCGCTCAAGGAAAAGGGGGGGGGGGGCTGGCATGGGGGCACAATGCCCTCCCACTTTCTAAAGTACCCCAAAAATGCCCCTTTTTACATAGAAAAAGTGCCCCTTTAACTTTGTATAAAGTGCCCCTTTTTACATAGGAAAAGCGCCCCTTCCCCTTTTCACCTCTGACAAGTGCCCCTTTTATTTTGACACGTACCCATTTTTCTTTGACAATTCCCATTTTCCTTTGCAATAAGTTTCCATTTTTCATTCTCACAAGTGCCTTTATTAATCTCTAGTAAGTTCCCCCTTTTCAGGTATTAGAAGCGCCCCTTTTCACCTTTGATAAGCACCCCCTTCACCTATAATAATTGCCCTATTAGTCTGAGAGGTTCCCCTTTTGTTTTGACAAGTTCCCCTTTTCCTTTGTAAAAGTGTCCCTTCCCCTTTTAATAACTACCCCTTTTTAACTCGGATAAGTGCACCTTATATTATCACATGTGCCCCCTTTATTTTTTAATAAATGCCCCTTTTCCTTATGATAAGTGCCTCCATTTAAAAATGAGCCCCTTTCCCTTCTCATAAATGCCCCTCTTCATCTATGAAAATTGTTCCTTTTCATTATCATAAGTGCTCCTTTTTCATCTCTTGTGAATGACCCTATTTAATTCTGAGAGATACTCGTTTTACTTTGACAAGTGCCCCTTCCCCTCCTGATAAGTGCTCTTTTCATCTCTTATAAATGCCCCTTTTATTTTGACACGTCCCCCTTTTCCTTCCTAATAGATTCCCTTTTTCCTTCTTATAAGTGCCCCTTCCCCTTCTCATAATTACCCCTTTTCATCTATGAGTGTCCCGTTTATTTTAACATGTGCTTCTTTTTCTTTTTAATAAGAGCCAATTCCCCCTTCTCATAAAAGCCCCCTTTCACCTCCGATAAATGCCCCTTTTCAAATTTGATCGGTGCCCTTTTTTTCAACAATTGCACATTTCCCTTTATCATTAGTGCCCCCTTTTCATGTAAGGTCAATAGGTCATTGCCCCCTTTCAGATGCGATAAGTGCTCCTTTTAACCTCTGATAATTACCCAATGATATGTGCCCTCTTTCCCTTTCTAATAAGGAACCTGCCCCTTTCAAAGTCTGATGGGTGCCACTTTCCGTCGACAAATGCCCATTTCCCATGCTCATAAAATCCCTTTTCATCCCTGGTGCAACCCTCTTTTTTTAGATGTAAGAAGTGCCCCATTTTCACCTCTGATAATTAACCTTTGTATTTTGACACGTGCTCCTTTTCTTTTCTAATAAGTGTCTTAACCCTTTCGATAAGTGTCCCCCTTTCCTCTCATCATTTAACGTGCCCCTAATTTCAAGCGACTATAATAGCAACTTCCCAAAGCTGGTATAGACTATATAGGTATCTACGTGTGACTACCTTTATATTTCCTTAAGACCTCGATATTCAAACCATTGTAGTTTGTTATTATGTAGAACACATTTTACAGAATATAATTACATTCATAAAAGAAGTCATTATGGCCATGGGGTTGCATGAGGGAGCACAAAGGGGCTGCCACCCCCCCCCCCATTGCTTCCCGCTCAGATAAAAGGTCTAATTTGTTGTTACTGAGGTTTGAATTTTCAATCTTGTCCTACATGGTGCCGCTAGTGAAAGTTATCTTATAATGCTGCTGAATATTTCTTGCCATCTCCCCTCATCTGTAATGATAAGGACAAGGTACCCTTTGTATGTCTCTTCCCCTCTTCAACTCTCTCTCTCTCTCTCTCTCTCTTTCCATCTCTCTCTCTCTGTCGTCCCCCTTCTCCCTCTTTCTTTCTCTCTTCCTCTCCTTCTCTCTCTTTGTCATCACTCCAACTCTCCCTCTCCTACACCTCTCCCTATCTCTTTCTTTTTTTTCCTTTTTTTTTTTAAACAAAAATTTGAATGTGATCAAAGAATTTTTATGCAATGTCTAAATGTTTGATTTTCGATTTATGTCATATTGTGTGTTATTTCAATTTGAATTGCAATTGTTAATGTATATTATCCTTGTGAAATGGATCGCAATTCAGCCATTGGCTGCGATGATCTTCTTAATACAAACCATTTCTATCTAATATCTATCTATCTATCTATTTGTAATTTCTTTTAAATTAAACAAACTACTCATAAACCATAATTTCTTTATTGTTTTGCTTGTTTGTTGTTAAAGGTGTCCAAGATGAACGAGTATGCAACAGTGACGCCTTTAAGATACATCGGGATTCAGCTTTCAGGCGCTGGCTTTCGAGCTCTTATCGCTGTCCTCGAGATCGCCTTCGGATCCCTCCTCGCATTCGGCCGGAACGACTGGCCGGTCGTCAGCGGGTTCGTCGTCCTGGCGATCTCTACCAATGGTCTATTGTGTCAGCTTGCACTCCGCGAAGCTCCCGCAGATTTCGTGGCGCCCATTTTGATCTTCGTTTTGATTGTTGTCATGATCTTTGGACGGAATGGGCTGTTGGGCCGACGTGGCAAGCTACATCTTTCTTGAAGTTTGACTAAACGTGGGAGGAAAAACCCTGGCCTTAATCGTCATACAATATGTTCTCATTAATCATAACATTGACAGCAATATTCAAATGAATCCTCAGTGTATGCCTTATCAAAGACGCCATCAAAATTGTCGAGGGATATCGGCCTTAGTTTGTAGATAGGTTTGGGGGGAAATGATAACAATAATAACTGTTTTTTTAAAGAATCTGACATACCATTGAAAACTAAAAATTAAAACATTAAAGAATAGATGAATAAGAAACAGTGAATAAATAATGAACAATGAATATTCATAAAAAGCGACAGTCCCCCTTTAAAAATGTGAATTGGACAATATTTAACCCTCGAAACTATTTAAAACAAAATTATAAGAAATACAGTTTCAAAATACCATAGTATCTGTTCTCAATTTCTCATGCTACTGTATTCCATCGTTACGTACAAAATACGGTTATCAAAATAATTCAGTTCTTTGATTGAACTTAGTTAGTTCTATTAAATTAAGTGATATGCCGGTCTATGATATTTCGGTATGGAATGAAATAGACTAAGTTTGAACAAGAGTTGTGTTTACTAAGATTTTGATATAAAATTGCGGTCAATTTACTATAAATTCGTAAATAAAATATGTCATTATAATTATTTGTATGCGGAATACTAAACGAACATAACTTATGTTCCTTGTTAATAGGCCTACGTTGAAGTATGTGATTATTATTATCAATAATAATGACCACATTTCATAAAGCGTTTTACCGGTTATAACTACAGCTGGAATGGAGCTTCTACCTTGAAACAAAAAGGAATCGGGGGTGTATTTTAAAGACCGTCAATACTACTGGGCCAGAAGGGATTAGACCACACAGCGAGGTCACTGACAGGTGGCTTTCTCTTTAACTCAGCTCTCAACTAACATAAGAAAAAGAGGATCATGGGGGACCAACAGGCTCCGATTGGGGAAGTTTTCTATATAGAGGGAGCAAGTAGCTACAAGTAGGACAGTGGGGCTTTAAATAGGTATACAATTTTATTTGTTTAACTTATGCAAAAATAACCAAACAAAATTGTCTGTTCTAAAATTTGCGCATAGATCTAGATGATTATAGTTCCTTCCGTTTAAAACTGTCAAACTGTTAACCTATTCAAAACTAGTCTTAAGACAAATTTATTCAAAATTGCGTTCGATGATTAATTAACTCTGTTCACTTTGATGTGTATTCCATATGTATTATAATTTGTAGGTTTATTTGCTCTATTTAGTTTTATTTAAGATGTAATTGTATATCAGTCTATTTTGTGTGTATAGCGCTTAGAGAATTCGGTGATAAGCGCTTTATAAGTAACCTTTTTATTATTATTTTATTATAACAGGGTAGAGTACATTAAAGATAAAGTTGAGTTCTGGTCATGCGATCATTGTGAAAGAAATGGTGTGGAATGGATCAGAAAAAGTTGATCATGTAGCATTTAAGTATTAGTGTGTACTGCACGGTTCTGGAGTCATCAAAATCATAATAAATTTGACCCAGTCTTGGTAAAGTAACAAGCACTGTACATAGAAAGATGTATATCGGACTACACAAAATGGTGTCGGGGCTACTAACCTTGATTTTCTTATCTTTCTATGCTCATTACTCAGCCAGTATACATTTTCTACCAAAATTGTTTGGCAAATGACATTTATTTGTACTCTTGAACATTCAGTGTAAGTTTCGTTTGATTCTGTGAGAATTCATTTTCTTTTCTTTTTACCAGAACTCAAGCTTATCTTTAAATAAAAAGATCTCTTAGTACTCACAGACATTAGATAGAAAAAGTCGAAAGATAAATTCATCAATCGGAGCAGAGCAGAGACACAGAATATAATTAATTTCACATTGCCCTTGATTTTTATTTCATACTCTGATAATATGCCAGTTCACGGTTGCAGTCTGAGCATGAGCAAATAAAGGTCATTGCAGAACAAATTTTGAAATACACGGAGACGAAATACTGGATTCGTGCTCATGAAAGTTATGTAATCATTATTCATTCATGCACATTCAGTGCACTCCATGATACACAGGTGGAAGTATTCTTTGAAAAGGGGAAACAAAGGCTATAGCACCTCCATCGCTGTAGGAGTGATTATTTCAAAATGTACAAAGTGGGACCTCTTCATGTTTTGAAGATCTGTGGATATTCGGGGTTATTGCAGTAATGTGCTAACCGTGAACTGGTCTATTATTACTGACTTATTTTCCATCAATATAAAGCAATGTGCTTTTGTGTGTAATATAGCATGGTATTCATGGATGAGATTGAATATGAGTGTAGCACAGGAAAAACATGATGAAATATGCGTACTTTGTGAAAACGTTGCATTATTACACTGTAATAGATTTACATAATAATGAGTTTGAATCGCTAATAATTCTGTTGTATTCTAAATATAATTATGTGGAGGTATCTTATAACATTGATAATTTTTTTCAATGTTATGTCCATTTAATTTGTGCATGATCCATTATAAACATACTAGAGAGAATGTCTTTGTGACGGACATGTGCGCTATATAAGAAGTCACCATTATTATGTCAGCTTTTAATTCCTTATGTTAAAAAAAGGACAATGATCACATATTTCAAAACTTTTTATCTAGTTTTCATAAAACAATAGTCAAATACAATATATGCAATAATGTAAAAGAAAACCATACGGTAATTGTATAACTGATCATTGTTTTACTGATTATACCTGAAAGACTTCTTTTTAAATAAAAGACATATTTTTAACGAATACTTTCCAGGCCTCTGTTTTTCATGTATGAGCCTAATAACATGGGGAAGCTGATTTTATAATCAATTACGATTCGTTCAAAAGATATCAGGCGAAAGATGAAATGAAGATTACTCTCAGCTGTCAGCTTTGATTCATTCTATTTTATTTCTAACTTTATTTATTACGTTGAGAGCTGACAAAAAGGTTACTCAATGTTTGTGTACAGATCGAGTGAGCTATTTTATCAACTGTCTTGGGATGTTTGGGAGCAGGTCTTGGCTTCTGCTGATCAAGTAAACGATGTGCCCTGCTTTCCACATTGTAATTTGAAGCAATTCTCCTCAAAGCGGGTATCACATACACACACACACGCTCACACATCCTCTGTCTGTCTCTCTCTCTCTCTCTTCACCCCCTTTCTCTCCATCCCCGTTCTCTCTCTCTCTCTCTTTCTCTCTAATACACACGCGCGCGCGCATGCCTACACACTCGCTCTCTCTTGTTCTTTCTCTTTTCCTCCACCTCTCTCCGTTCTCCTTAAATTGGGTTTATTTTTTTTGCATCGATAGAGCATGGAACAAATGTTCAGTGTCCGAAGGAAGAGGTATGTCTATAGTATATTAAAAAACTAACAAAGAGTTCCCATGTTACTTGAGAGAGTGTCAAGAGAGTGTCAGAAACCAAGTAAGCTCCTCTATTTTGTTCTGCAATAGGTAAAGATGGTCAAACGTTTTTATTACATAATTGTATGAAAGGAATGATCATGTGACACCTCGAGAAAATTTCAAACAGCACTCAATAATTGCACTACGCGAATTTGAGTTATAAAGTGAATAAAGCACTTCTGAGTTATCGAGACTGAAAATCAATAAATACTTTTTCTTTACTTCCAGAACAGCTAAGGGGAACGTTTTGGTAAGGGGAACGTTGATATTTTCCGTTTGCCAGATCTTAAAAAACTTTGTGAATTTTTTTTAGTGATTGTACCACCGTAACAATGTGAGTGTCTGTAATACACAGTGAAACTTTATTTCGACAACATCTGGTGCATACAATTTAATTTAGGACAATATAAGACAAATCGTGAGTCAATAAATGTAAGTTTAAACCATGAAACGTTTATTTTAATATATCTTTTAGCACGATAATCATACGTCAATTTGAAAAACACAATATAGGCATCGTACAACAATAATAAATGTAAAATCATATGTCACTTAGCACCCATGATTGCACCCTTACATATTTAATGCTAGTGCTCTTTTAAATTTGACTCAATTTTTTAGAGATATTTCACGTTTATCCAGAAAATAAATCAATACCACATTACTACAAAGGACCTACACAAGGAAGACTGAGAACCTAAAGCAGTATTCTAATGACAAGGGTTCATCTGATCTATACCTTTATAACACAAGTAATTTGACTGAACTTGATATAAAACCATTTGACAGAGCATTTAAACGAAATGTTATGGATAGCATAATATTGGTAATACCGACTGTTTACATATACACTAATGTTATCAACACACATTATTTTGAAAACGGATAATTCATAGACTTCAAAATTACTATATAATTATGAAAAACGCATACTGCAATTGATAGAGACGTGACCGAAAGTCCACGAGACCGTAAATAACTTTACGAGACCAGCTTTTTAGCCTCTTGACCCTCCAAAATATAAGAAATTTGGGGTCTCGTAGACTTTCAGCCTCAATAATATACTCTCCTCTTAACCCTGACAACACAATGTATATTATTTTTTGTATACATAAATAGACATTTGATGTGCATTAACACTGATTATAACCTGGTATTGGAATAATAACATGAAACAGTCATGACAAAATCAATGTAAATCTGATACTAAACATAGCTTCACTTTTACAATGAATGAATACAAACATTGATTTATAAGAAGATTTTTCTTGTAAAAAGACCATTAAACATCAAGAAGGTTCTATACAGTTATAAGGCGTAATTATCAGTCATTGAGTTAAAACGTCAAACCGAATAAACCATCAGTAAACAGTATTATAGTATGAGAATTCCATTATCATTACACATGACCACTATACATCACCAAAATCCACGAAAACAGTAACCGTTTCGTTACGTATATCGATATATAAAACAAGATCATTACAAATAACCATGTCTAAAAACATGAAAATTAAAGGCTTTGTTGAGTAATTATTTTGAAGTATATTATGCTTTTTCGATGCGCGCCCTGTGATTTTAGTAATAATTAGTTATTTACAGGAACAGTTATACAAGCATAATAAAATTATCATTCACAACCTTGGCATAATTAACACATATACATAAGAGATCAGTATTAGATTAAAAAAAACTAGAATTGGGAGTTTTAACCAAAATTGAAGTTACAGAGTAATTATATGACAGCTTTATTGTTAAGTAAAATGATGATAGAGCAAATAACATATTCAATACATTACAAAAATCATGTCACACAGTTACACTAGATAATGTAGTTACGGCATTTCTATTGGTAGCAACATTGATTTAGTGTTGATTAGTAATTTTCGACAGCACATAGAAAAGTCATAAACTCGATTTATTTCAAGATCATATTGAACGATCAAAATGCCATAGGAACAGTAATATATAGTTGTAGCGATACAAAAGAATAACATCAATGAAATATCAAGGGTGAAAAGGTATATACTGTAACATCAACTGTACAACAGAGACACATACAATAAGAATATTAGGGTCTTTAAAGTAGTAACTGTATAGTACGTTACGGATAGGGGGGGGGGGGGACATATATACGGTTCATAATAGTTACGCTTATTATTTGTAAAAATGCAAATGATTATAATAAACAAATCACTAAGCCTTTGTTACCATAATATATTAGTATAGCGCAGTTGATTAAAGTTATTGTGATTTTATCGTTTGACAATTAAAAATAACAATGAGAAAATAGTTGGAATTGTAAACTCGGTTATGGCAGATCAATATGAACAACCTACATGAATGACATGTGATTTAAATATATACTGTAAAGGGAATGGCACAAAAACACAAAGGCCCGAATTCACAAAGCAAGGTTTGAGCTCAGACCAAGGTTTGAGCTCAAACCTCCTTTTGTTTTGCCAAACCTCCTTTTGTTATTTACAAACCTGGTTTGAAAATAACAAAAGGAGGTTTGGCGAAACAAAAGGAGGTTTGAGCTCAAACCTTGCTTTGTGAATCCGGGCCAAACAGTTTATACACATACAATAAAATAATTAAAATAAGAGTTTTAAATCAGAAGTTGTATTGTCATTAGGGATAAAAGGAAGGTGAGTATACGGCAGTGGCGGATCCAGCCGGCGGGAAGAGGAGGGGGGGGGGGGGGCAATCCGTGAGAAAATATTAGTTGCGACTCAGCCGGCCGGCGAATAAGCGGGGGGGGGGGCTTTTGTTTTTTGTTTTATAAAGGTTAACTTTACGTTATTATCCTATTTTTTTTTATCATTTTTTTTTTGGGGGGGGGGGTGGGGGGGGGGGGGGGCCCGGGCCGGAAAAATCGCTACGTGGATCCGCCCCTGGTATACGGTATCAACAAAATATATATATATATATATATACAGTTATATTTCAAAGACACAAATCAATTATATTACAAATTATTCGATTATTTTATTATGTATTAGCGCATTTGATTAGTGCTGTAGTGATTCATAGTTTGAAACAACTTTAAAGGTAAAGACCAGTTATGGTCATGCGATTGCATTGTGAAAGAAACGTTGTGGAATCGATCAGAAAAGGTTGATCATCTAGCATCTAGCATCTGCAAGGTTCTGGAATCATCAAAATGATAAGAAATTTGGCCCATTCTTCGTAAAATTACAAGCACTATACACAGAAAGATGTATATGGGACTACCCTATATCTCTCACAGACCATGAGAGAAACAAATTTACCAAATATATGAATTAGTAGGCGGTTTCAAGGCAAATTTTTTATCATCATGTATTAGTCAAAACATATTCTTTCACATGATTGGTAATGAGAGCTTCCATTTCATTTTTTGAAATTGGGGCGTTTCCAATACTGGTCTTTACCTTTAAATAACATACAAAAAGAAGCAGCAGCAGTATTAGTGATCAGCAATATTAGTGAGCAGAGCTGTTAGTTAAAGAATAATGCAATAGAATGTCGTCAATAGGAAAGCAGTATTGTTTGAAGGATATTAAGTTGAAATAATAAATGTTGGTGACACATCTACATAATATGGAAGGTTTAATGAAATTATATAGCAAGCGAGATCTGAATACAAATTACGAAGAAAAAATAGGTAGATTTACATATAAATATATACAAATAGAACAATGATAATCATCAAGAAAAGGAAGTTTCCAATGATTAATTTCATCCGTCTATGAAATATGCTAACATATTGCTTGGCGTTCATTAATTTTATCATGTTAACAAAATATTCATATAATGTAATGCATCCAGAGTGCCATCATAATTATAAAGCACATACTACAATGTTTTCTCTCTCACTTAAAACTGCCTCCAATGTCTAGATTTTTTTTTGATGTACATCATGGTAAATTAATTTTGTAGAATCCTCTTTCATGCTACAGTTCATGACATTATCTCGGTTGAGCAAGATTCAAAGCTTTCTTTCAAATTTATTTCCATTTGTTGGTTCTCCCTTGTTCGTGCGTGGGCGTCAAAGTCCTGATATTTTGTTGGTGAAGAGCAGTTGTCATTGACATATACGTCATCTAGCTTGTAGCTCATGTTTGCATAACAATCAGCTTTACCTTGCGATGTCGTGTTTTATCATTCCACCTCGTGCATTGAGTTCAATCTGCATACTTAAGTTGTATATCTGCAATGCATCCAAGATTACAGTTCACTTGTCGTCTTCTTAGCAGCGAAGAAACCAAGGGTGTATCATATTGCTGTTATCCAAACTATGGACAAAATAATAAAAAGAGATACCAGACTATAATCACTGTCACTTGCGCTGTAGAATATCATCCAGTGTGAGAAAAACAAAATCATCAACACAAAATACACTACTAGGATATAGATACATCCCCATTTACGTGTAATATATTTGAACTAGTAGAAGACAGAATGAATTAAAATGTCTTTAGTTCCATGTTCTCGTTATAAGTAATAGGACGTTTAGATTTGCACGTCGACATAGTGAACTTCTACGTGTGAAGTCCTTTAAAGGCATTTTTACGTCGTTTTAAGGCACTACCAGGACATCACACGTAGCAGTCCACTATGTCGACGTGTAAATCTAAAAGTCCTTATTATAGCCCACAACAGGACAACGAAAGCGAAAGCGGTCACCAACCCGTTAGGTGCATTGCACACGATGTGAACAACAAAGATAATTGTTAAAACAATATTTGAATCCTTAATATGTTAGAAGCGTTGACAACGATGAGGATATCAAAGTATACTTATGAAGACAAGAAACAGGGGATTGTTGCCGTTATGTAATCACTGCATCCTGATATCAATACTTACTATTTCTCCGTAGCTATCACCCTGGTCGTTGCCCCGGCTCGGTCGTCTTCACCAGGCGCGTACACAGGGGGGGGGGGGGGGGGGGGGGGGGGGTTTAGGGGGTTAAACCCCCCCTTTGGCAATTTTTTGTGTGTAAACCTCCCCCCCCCCTAAATTTCCCTAAACACCCCCCCCCCCCTTTTGTAATTTTTTTTTCTTTTTTTTTCGGTTGGCTGAGTCGTTGCGATTTCTTTTTGGACTACCAAAAACAAACAAAAAAAGTGTCTGCTTACCCCCCCCCCCCCCCCCCCCCCCCACTGAGCGACTTTTCGGCCGGCGCGATTTTCAAATTTTCGGGAGCAAAATATTTTGGGCCAGATTTTAAACCCCCCCCCCCCCCTTGAAAAAATCCTGCGTACGCCCCTGGTCTTCACCGTGGTCAAACTCCGGTTGCCGTCCATGTCGTCGCCCTGGTAGGCTCCATCCTGATGATCATCGTTGCCGTCATCTTGTTCCTTGCTCTGGCTGCCATCATCCTGGTAGTCACGCTGGCCACCGCCCTTCTTCCCTCGCTGAAAAGTTAAACGAATAGGCACTTTTATAATCTTGTATAATTAACATGTAAATCAAGTGATTTACTGGTGAAGAATGATTACCTATAGCCAGTGGCGTAGACAGGTTCGTACACCTGAGGGGGATGACTCAGGGGCGGATCGAGCTTTTTGCTAAGGGGGGGGGTTGACCAAAATAATGACGATGCGGAGCATCGTCCACGAGCCGCGAAGCGGCGAGCCGATTTTTTTTGGGGGTGTTTATTTGAACCCCGTAAGTGATGTTTTCCTGGCATCTATTAACACAATGGAGACCATAAAAAGCAGTGCATGATAACGTCTTTTTAAATCAAGTAACAGTTATAAATACACAGTTATATCCAGAGTTATCATGTGTTTGGTTAAGTTACCAGATGAGTTGAATATCCCCGTGAATATCTTCTCACAATATTTGCACTTGAAAGGGTTTCTCTCCAGTGTGCGTTTTTTTTTCTTTCTTTTTTTCTTTTTTTTTTTCTTTTTTTTTCTTTTTTTTTTTCTTTTTTTTTTTTTGGGCCGCCCAAGGGGGGGGGGGGTTAAACCCCTAAACCCCCCCCCGTATATCCGCGCCTGTTTAATCTTGTGGTTATCTTGTGGTTTCCAAACCACAAGATAACCACAAAATACTTGTAAGATTTTCTCTTTTTTACCGTCTGAATTGGCTTTCACCGTGTGAATGCGGCTAATAACAATAAACACAATTACAATAATGATGAGGATTATTATTATCATCATCATAATTATTATTATTATTAATATTATAATTGTTATCATTATTATTATTACTATTATTATCATCATTATGACTTATTAAGTAAGCAAATATCATTCCCCAAAACCTGGGGGGATGATTGTACATGCCATCCCCCCCACCTTGTGAGGTGGGGGGGATGCATCCCCCTCATCCCCCCCGTTGTCTACGCCCCTGCCTATAGCGGCTCCAATTTTTTTGCCAATCATGGATTCAAGGCCTGCATTAATTATGTTAAGTTTATTAAGCACTGCTCTGAAAAGAGTGCAGTTTTGATGTCAGCAGCCTTTGAAATACAACTATGAAAATATTAGAATTAGAAAACAGAATATTTACGGGAATAGCAGTGTAGAAAAGTCAGGACAACAAGTAGGTCTCAAAATGCAGATTTCAAAATATCAAACGCAATTGCATTCCTCTTTTATGATAACTTTCTTTTATTTGGATAACATCATTTATTTTCCCATAATCTTGCTCTATTACATACCTGGTTACCACCGTGGTCGCTAACAGTCTCGTAATCGCTTGCTCACCATCACCGTCGTCGTAGCCGTCGTGGTCGCTATCAACCTGTAGGTCGCCTTTCTCGATACATTGTTGTCGTACCCCTGGTAAAATAGAAAAATGCAATGCAATTTCATTACGTGTTCATTTAGGCTGTGGCTATAAAGAATAGTATTAGGAAAGAGCTAGAATGAAAGCTCTCAAAACGGAATTAGAAATCTCGATCTCAGCACCATTCCTCTATTCCGAATCTTTTGATTGAAAAGTGGCTTCAAAATCTTCCACTCTATCTTGCTCTTCTGCAACAACGTACTTTTAAAGGGTTATTTTTAATGTCCTTTTTCTGCAGATTCCTAATTCCGAAGCTTCATTGGTCCGAAGTTTTACTAAATTTAATTGTTTGTTATTCCGAAGGTTCATCATGGTAGAAGAGTTGCCAACGAGGAGTATATCAAATTATAATTATGAAGACAAAAAACAGGGGATTTATACCGCTATGTAATCACTACATCATGATATCAATACTTACTTTTTCTCCGTAGCTATCACCCTGGTCGCCGTCCCTCTGGTCGTCGCCCCGGCTCGGTCGTCTTTACCGTGGTCAAGCTTCGGTTGCCGTCCATGCCGTCGCCCTGGTCGGCTTCATCCTGATGATCATCGTTGCCGTCATCTTGTTCCTTGCTCCGGTTGCCATCACCCTGGTAGTCACCCTGGCCACCGCCCTTCTTCCCTCGCTGAAAAGTTAAACGAATAGGCACTTTTATAATCTTGTATAATTAACATTTACTGGAGTCCTACTTTGAAGAAATTGTAGTTTTTATTTAACCAGCCTTTGAAATACAACTATGAAAATATTAGAATTAGGAAAATAGAAAATTTGCGGGAAAAGATGTGTAGATAAAAAAAAGGTCAGGACAACATGAAGGTCTCAAAATGCGGATTTCAAAATATCAAACGCAATAAATAGTATTCTTCTTTTATGATAATTTTTATCAAGTTTCATTTATTTTGATAATACCATTTATTTCCCAATAATTTTGCTTTACAACATACCTGGTTACCACCGTGGTCGCCATCAGTCTCGAAATCGCTTGCTCACCACCACAGTAGTCGTAACCCGGTAGCCGTCGTGGTCGCTATCAACCTGAAGGTCACCTTCCTGGCTACATTGTTGTCGTACCCCTGGTAAAATTGAAAATGCAATGAAATTTTATTACGTGTTCATTATGCGGCTATAAAAAAAGAGCTAGAATGAAAGCTCCCAAAACGGAACGTACTTTTCAAGGATTATTATTAATGTCCTTTTTCTGCAGGTTCCTAATTCCAAAGCTTCATCGATCCGAAGTTTTATTCAATTTAATTGTTTGTTATTTCGAAGGTTCATCATTAAAGGCATACAGATCGAACGCTATATCATTTCGGGAAACACGAACCAACAGAAACCGAAACTTCGGTAAAACGAGTGCCCTTTCTAATAATTTTTAAAAAATAATATTGCTTTAAAGGTACTATGTCCCTTTTGCAGCCAACCTCAAATTCTGTAAAACTTTGCAGGAATTATGAATATGTCATGTATGTCCTATCTGTGAAATTTAAACGTTAGCAGTATCCTAATATTCAAATTATGCAAGGAAACCCGTTTACCCTGCTAGACTTCACTGTCAGACACTATTGAGTGACTGACTGGCTTTTTTTCTTCTTTGGTAATAACATATCTGTTACGGGTACATGAGCATTTGTCTACATCAATAACACACTACTTGTGATGGCCAAAAATTAAACTGATTGAATCTTTGCGCAGCATAAAACGTATGACTATTCGGTACAATGGTCTGAAAATCAAGACTATTACTTACTGGCTCTATAGCTCCTAAGTCGATTTGACAACTAATAGTCGTTATTTTCCCACTTGAAGACATTTTCAAGCCCCACCTTTTTTAGGGAAGTTCTAAATTGTTATTATCTTTCAAATGCCGTTGGAATTTAACCTTTTCATTTTTTTGGCCTGCAAATGGGACATAGTACCTTTAAATCTGATCGTAGCTGCTCTACTCACCATCGCCTCGGTTCGTCAGCTCGTCGCCTGGTTGCCGACTTTGTCACATATAGTATAAGCCTATCAGTAGTTCTCTTTCCCTTCCAGCAATCTAAATGATTGAACAACATTCCAATACTTATGAATTTGTTACGGAATCACGAAAATGTCATAATATAAGTTACGTTATACATCTTCATTGCCTTAGTGAAATAGAAGTTGAGAAAACTTTTTATCATCCCCATATTTACCTCATATCCATGCAATACTACAACTTGGACGAGCTTTCAGGATTTGGCTTGTTATCTATTCATGCCCAAGCATTATACGTTAAAATTGCGAAAAATATAATCATGACTCATTATACATAAAATTGCTTTCTATTTTGATACCACAAACCTTTGGTTAAACAAAGCTAAAAGTCTTTTTTTTTAAAGGAAGGTTGCAATACAAAGGCTAATGATTTATACACACGTGACACGTGGATTCAATATGAAAACAGATTTCGATTTACGATTGATTAATTCTGTGTAGGTCACTCTGGGGAAAATATATTCCCCCCCCCCCCTCCCCTCCGTAGGATGGTATACTTATCAACAGTAAATATATACATCAAGACTCCGCCATTATCACTGCATCACCGTAATCGTCATCGTGGTCGTAAATCGCATGGCGCGGTCAGAACGTCTTCTCCTCTCCTCTATACCGTCCACCTGTAGAATGAGAACTCTCTCTGAAACTGCATGTCATTATACACTTATTTGTTTATTTGTTTACATACCCACCAAATTGCATTTCCTACTTTCAAAAAGTATCATTCTTTCCATTTGGTTATCATTATTTGGCCCTGTTTTTCATTCCAATTAATATATGCTTTTCATATTTCTTCCTAATGTGTAGCCTTTCATTTTAACGTACTTTCCTTCCTTCATATCACATATTTTCCCTTAACTCTTCGTAGTAGTTTTAAGCAGATCACCAGACTGTCTTCTAGTGTTTATAAATGTATGTCAATACTACATTATATATTAATATATCTCTACATATATATATTCATCAAAGTCGTGATATACAACAAAAATCCATAACGTATTGCTTCTGTAGCCGTATCGTCTCTGCTTCTGGTTTTAACTTCGACATATGAAACTTACTTCATTTTCACTTTACTTTTTGACAACGAAATTATCATTAACTTGTCAGCACCTACCTGTTGATACTTACCAATTTATGAACATGTATACATTTTCATATTTAATGGCATGCAGGTATCGATGCTCGGTATAGATCCACGTCGAGACATTATTAAAATGTCTATTATACATGTATGATTCAAATATATCTATCTCTACAATGATTTTCTATTTCTCCTGCTACCTTTTCTCTGTCGTATTTTCTCCAAATGTGTGTATAGAACGATAAAACAATATCCATGCTACTGTTTATAAAGTTCTGCCTTATCTATTCTGCGCCAGAATTTCTAATTACATCTTAACGTATATACATTTTCAACCTCTAATACTAAGATAATGCCAATATTTATATTTATATTTAAGGTATTGTTCTCATTCGTCGCATTTACTTATCACTTAAAATATAGAATATATATTTTCTTATGCTATAATACGAATACTACAATGTTGTAAGCTATATGCTGCTTTATCCAGTCCTATTAATCCATTACATTGTTACATAGAATATGAATTGTCACTTTCTAATTCTATAAAAATGTCAATATTACTTATACATTTTCTTCACAAGTTCTAATGATAAAATCATCTCGACAATACAGATACCTATACAAATTTTGCTTTACATAAGACTTATACGCCATCCTTTCTCATTACACCATTTACAGAGTATTCAGCTCCTATTACCAAGATCATTTTTCCTACAAAATATACATTCTCTTTCAACTACTAGTCTACTTCGTTGTATTTTATCACATCGAAATTTAGAATTAACGTCAAATTTTAAGGCTAAATTTAAGTCAACATTACAGGTACCCGTTTACAAAATATGTTCAGCTGCATCCAGGCCTATTTGTTTACTTCCTATTTTCTCATCATGCTAAGATAATCCCGATAATCACAGTCTTACCATACCAATAACTCTTATTCCCCTTCTCATAACATCGGTGACCATGCACAATCTAATGCTTACGTTATGTTAAGATAATTCCATTAAATATTCAGGTCTATACAAGATATATGGTCTCACCTATACCCGTTGGTCTCATTCGTTGCATTTTCTCATAACATAGCAAACAATGCTAAAGAGGTATTACCAATTCTTAATGCTAAGATAATTATTATATTACAGTTCTCTTTAAAACGTATTCTGTTTTATCCAGGCCTATTATATTCCGTCGAAATTTCTCATCTTATCAATATACAGAAAATGTATTGTTAATTCCTAATAACTTACCTAATGCTAGGATTATGCCAAAATCTTTATTTTTCTCTACAAAAACCTACTACCTATACGGATATTGTATTATTTTCTTACTACATCAGTAGCTAATTCATAATACTACAATATTTAAAATAATTGTGACAGATCGCGGGGGTTAGGCAAGGTGATGAGGCGTTGACCTCTGGTGACCTTTTTCAGGGTCAAGGTCACCGTTTATAAATTAAGGTCATAAACTTTTGTTTTCACTTCAGCAATTCCGGTTCGAAATTTAATTTCTTTGAATTATCTTGTCTTGCAAATGTTTTTGTTTTGCAAGTACATGTACATAATATTGATTGGACCAACTGCAGAATACCCTGCCACACAAATAAATCCTAACTCTAGACCTAGTCCTAATTATAACCCTAATCCTAACTCTAATCATGCAGGACAGGAGGAAAGCTAACCCTAAAACTACATTCTACTGATGCGTGGTAGAGTATTCTGCTGTTGATACTACAAACTGAACTACACAATACTGTACCGATATCAATCCTACCTTTACTGATACAATTTAGCGAAAGAACTAGAACTACCCCTTTTGCCCATATTATAGATCTATAGCCTTCTTCTTCGTTACTCCGATTACCAATCATCAATTACCAAATCAGTCATTACCTATTGATCATTACTTATCCATGTCTAATTGCTGGGATAGCATGCTTTGTTTATCTCTACGAGAGTCGTCTAATTCTCCTTATGCTTCTTCGTATTATTTATTATTTTAATAATCTTCAATTACCCAGATCATCAATAATATCATTTATCAAATTATCAATCATCAATTATTAATTATAAATTATAAGTTTCTAATACTAGGATATTAATTTTACTACTCATTATTAAATATCTACTTCGTCATCTAGACCTATATTCTACTCAATGATAACGGAAATGTCTAATTTATACTGCTTAAGAGTATACCAATATTACATTTATCGTACTTCTTTTATTCTATGTCTCATATTAAATAGATAGATATATAACCTAAAAGCATAGTATACTTAAACCCATAACATAATATATTATGCCTTATTCTTATTGTGAAATACAGTGTAGAACACACATCCATTGATATCGGTACAGTATTATGTAGGCATTGATTTGCATAGTGTCAGGAAAGAAGAGTAAAATAACGGATCGCATGAACTTCAATATTCCATCGAACTTACGATTTCTGGTTCATTTTGTATTTCAATTGACTGTGCAAATCGATGCTATGTTACAATATTTCTAGGTAATAATAATCTAATAATATCCATTAGGACTAGCAATATTTATTTCACCAAATCCACCGTAATATCACGATAAATATACCAATAAAAGTAATTCAAATCAAATATCAAGGCGAAAATATATTTAATATGTCACAATTCCAAATTAAGTTTAATGATATCTTACCTTACTTACCAAAGAAGACATTCTGGATTTTGAATCTTTGTTGAAAATTGATGGGTGTTTCTTCTCACAGAGATACCAATGGTTTGAAGAACGTTGCTACGATATCAGTGACGTGTTCGCAAAGGAATAGGAAGTTTATAGCTGTCCATTTCCAACCCAACAAATATCTTCGTGATATGGAACCTACCATTTTCTGAAATGGGTTAGGATAGATTAAAACTAGGCCCTTACACTACTTTTATATTAATTAGGGGGCCTATGTGTATCAATGTTGTCCTAACGTTTATATTTGGCCAAGCTTAAACCCATCCTGACCCATCTCAGTGAATTTTAGAGCTCCATTAAGATCACAAGTGATATTGCTGAATTCTCTACAGACAACTTCACTTACCCCGACATCTATTTGTTCAGTCTCAGCATTCTCCGGTTCAGTCGGGCAGGCATATAATCCAAATGAGTGAATTTCCGTCCAAAAATATTTCCTTGCACACACAAATATAATCCAATAGAGTCAGGCAGTCTTTGATTTGGCTCCAATGTTATTCCATAAGCAAGTGTTCAGGGATGTTATTCCATATCCTGTTCTTGGAAGTATCAAAATCGTAAACGTTTGCATATCTTGAAAGCCTTTCTGCGCGTCACAGACCAATCGACAAACCTTCTGCAAGGTTCGAATCAGTCAGGACGATATTTGGCTTTGGCGAGTTCTGTAGACGTTTCTGACATCAGGCCCTTTTTAGTTGCGTTGTTCTCAGTTAATGACAGGTCCGTTTAAAGGAATGGTTCATGCTAGTTGATTCATCCATGGGTCGCATTATCTTACATGCCGGGCTTAAAGTACGTCAGAGTCCGCCAACAAACCTAGGTTCGAATCAGTCAGTCCAACATTCGGCTTCGGCGAGTTCGTTACAAGATTTTGTCATCAGGTACTTCAAAGTTCGTTGCCTTTAGACAATGGTGATATTTGAAAGAATATCTCATTGGTCCGAATCGTATTTATCTGTCGATTTTGCTTCTGAAGCACGCGTCGAAATGTCCACTTGAAGATGCATGTGCCATGTTTGAAAATTGGCAAAATACGAAATTTAATTCGATGCTCTTTATTGACTTGCACAGAATAGTGTTTCCACGTTGCAACAAGTCCAGTAGTGTTAATGATGAAAGTGCATTAAACAGGAAGAACCATACTTCTGTTGTAAACTCCAGAAGAGAAATATTCATAAGCTGAAAAGTTAGTAGACTGATTTCAAAGTCAGTTGAACGCAGACGCAAAAAAAAGTCCAAGTGCACCGAGTTGAATATAGTGTCTTTATGCTGCAGTAAGTTCACTTGTAATAACAGTAACGACGCACTGTCCAAGGGGCGAATCACAGCCTTTTCTCCATAAAAATAGGTTCATATCCAATAAAGCCCCACTGTCCTACTTGTAGCTACTTGCTCCTTCTATTTAGAAAACTTTCCCAATCGGTGCCTGTTGATCCCCCATGATCCTCTTTTTCTTATGTTAGTTGAGAGCTGAGTTAATGAGATAGCCACCTGTCAGTGACCTCGCTGTGTGGTCTAATCCCTTCTGGCCCAGTAGTATTGACGGTCTTTACGAATGGTGAAAAGGTAGAAGATTTCTTAAGCTTGAAGTCCAAGCTAGGCTGGGGCAATGCATTCCCAATGTGATGTGCGTGTCAACCCATTTGCTTTGAGAAGATGTGCA